GAAGTATCACATTAGATAATATGTATCAAGTACAGATTAACCGATTAAAACGTATAATAGGCTCATTCGGATTGTTGAATTTAATGCACTGCGCCTGAGCACGTACATTATACATGTTAAATAGTTTGGCTATTTTAGTGCATTTTTTTTTTGTAAAAAATGTATCCATATTTAGTACCGACCAAGTGTTTTAATTTCAACACGGATAATATGTTATTGGGCTGGATACAAAAAATATTTAATTTCGCCGTTTTCGCATTACACTTTCACTTTCAGTTAGAGATAAGAAATAATTGATAAGAGATAAGAGACAAAATATATGTAATAAGTGATAAGATACAACATATATGTAATAAGTGATAAGAGATAACATATCCGTGATTAAATGGTATTTCTGTGGAGTGAGGAAATAACTAGGTTATTTTTATGTTATTATTTTTTTTTTTAAATAAAATTAAGCTTATATTATGTCATGTAATTACAGAAATATGCTACTTTGTTTACATATAATTGAGTAGGAAAATTTCTTAGAGGGTTGATATATATGTATATTTATATTTTTTTTATATAAACCGAAGAAACGTATGCACTTTTATTTGATATTCTAAAATTTTCCCCCCTCCCTTCGTACAGGGGGAGAGGTACATCAAGTGGGATGTGGCTGTCGTAAAATTCATTTTGAACTATTGTATTTGATAAAAACATTTTTTAACTATTCTAAACAAAATGTTATTATGTGACTAAAATAAACTGATTTTTATAGATTTTTTTTTTTCATGTATTCTATATTTTTGACAAGCTAAAAAGTTTGATTTCTTGCGGCCGAATAACATTGACCCGAGGTAGGAAAGAGAGAGAGAGAAGGTGAGAGAATTTTCTACTGAAAAGGTAATGTCAATGTGGATGTAATAAATAAAACATTTATTTCTATAAACGTCGAACGGTTTAAAATGAGATTATTTGGCCCTTTAGAGTTGCTTGAAACGATTGATTAAAGTTTGGTCGGCGAGCCTGCTGTTATTGGTCACTGTTGTTAAATTGTTCAACACTAACAGGATTATTTTCTAGTTCGTGAAGGGGACCGAGACGACTTGGAAACCGACAAGATGACGGTGCTCGGCCATTAAACAAACCTCATTATCTTGTCGAACACAACTGGGATTTTCGGGCCTTAAGTCTTACCTGAATTTATGACCGTGGCTGTCTACTGATTAACAAGCACAGGGGGGACCGCTTCTTATGTCGCCTCGGCACGACAATAATGTAGAGAAACTTTCAAAGTAGAGTGAAGTAAATCGAATAAGTATTTAATAGAGGGGAAACGTTTTTTTTTTTTTTTTTGAGATAAAGAGCCACGAATACACTCTACGACAAATCAGAAACTAAGTTTGGTAAGTGCTTCTTCTAAACGGAGACAACTATAATGCGAATGATATCAGCTCGTCGAACCTTTAAATCATCCAATACCACCCACACTACTTTAAAAGTATTAATTTAAAAATATTGTAATATTATAATATAGGATTTTCTTTAATAAATATAAGCTGACGCGGGGTCCATTAATTCGTTAGAGAGATAAGTAAAAAAGCACACACACTAAAGAGGGCGGCCGGCAAAGACCTATAATAAAAAGCAGCAAATAAATTATAATGGCGATTTAACACGGTTTGCTCGGTTCTTTTTATTACGACCCGTTACGCTTCTTCTTAATAGATAATAATGCTCTGTTAAAGAAGCGACTCGGGCTTTTTTCTAGAAATATATCACAACGATATTCCGTCGATCATTTATAAGCATTAGAAGAGCAAGCATATCTAACAAAAAACAGCGAGTTGTGTTTTTTATAAAATATGACCTAATTGAGTAAAATATAATTTTACTTTCTTATCGATTGTCTTTTGGGGGAATTAATGAATTGCGTGTTGGTAGGTATTCCGAGTTGATTGGAATTATCGGTTAAGTACAAAATCGATGTGTGCAAAATCCATTCCAATGGCTTCTCCTCCGTAGCTCTCTGTATTATAATTTACAATCATGTTGTTGTATCGGTTCTGAATATAATATTATAATACCACGATGGATACCTCTCTCTTGCTGCCTTGTGTGTGTGTGTCGTCTCGATGATTCCAAAAGGGGCTTCACGTCGGTCTAATTCCGTAATTGTTGCAAAGGCATACTGTATAGGTGTATTACCGCACGGAGGCGTATTTGAATTTAATTTCAAATCTGCGATACATACCAAATGTACAAATGTAATTTCCGGATTATATGCCCGAAATGGTGGTTTCGGTCGAGCCAAACCGAAAAGCAAACCAACAACCGCGCAGAGACTGATTTTGCATAATAATTGATAATATATTCGGTTAAAAATGTGTGTTGGACTTTCACGTTGATTTCATACCGTAAGTACAACACTGCACTGTCCATAGCGTAGCGCATCACAGAATAGATAATAGCAGAACGGTCACTGACGACCATGTTGTAACGACCTCGCATTGACGTTACCTTACCCTTTTCTTATCTATTTAGTACCTACTATCAATTGGAAATATTGATATTACGGTTTGTATTTTATACCATATATATATACGTTTAAATTAGTTATACGTTTTAAATTTGCTAAATGCTAATATATATTCGTTTAAATCAGTTATAACTTTTAAGTTTATTAATATGCGGTGTATGAGCGTGTGTTGACAAATACAATTGCAACAGAGTACTCACAAATTACACACACACACACTTAAACCTTTATTGCGACACTCTGTAAAAATATTAAATAGTTATTTAAAATAAAAACCTTTTGAAGCAATTATTTCTAGTCGTTTAATCGATGACTCGTTTGAATCGTTGATCGTTTGACTCTCGGATGAAAAATTATATTCTAATTTTAGTTTTTCGAAAATGGTCACACTGTGACGTCGTAAGACGTATGGCCACCGCGGTTTTTGTGTGATAAGTCTGATAGAGTAATTATATATATATATATATATATATTATTTTATCATAATACAGAGTACCAACCGCTTAACAATGAGGACTTTTTTTTTTTGTGTGGCCATACTGACTAAAACCAGTATGGCCACACAAAAGAAAAAAAGTCCTCATTGTTAAGCGGTTGGTACTCTGTATTATGATAAAATAAGTTTTTCCCCTTTGTCTTACAATGTTTTTTTACTGTTCTCGTTGATATCTTATCACCACAATAAATTGAACGGTATTTTATTTTCATCCAACTAGACAGACTGACTTAAGTCCTACTACTTGTGTCGCATTAAAACTACTGTATTACACCAATAAATATAATAAACAAAACCATAACTGTTTACAAAATAACTGTTCAGTGTAAATACCAGATAAAAATAACTCTTAATAAACTAATATACAATTTATTGCTAAGGTAGTCTGTGCTTAATGTTTGCCATTTGGAACACGTCTTATACCTATTCTATTAGCGTAATCGATTTATGTTAAAAAAAAACTAATTATGAACTGTCAAAACCGTTAAAAAGAAATTAATTTTTAAAAAAAATTACTCCCAAGCAAGTGTGGGAGTTGGGTAATTTTATCGCAGTCAATTTTTTTTTTCTACCATTTATTAATCCGAATTTCTTATTTTGCTTTAAATAAACTTAAATAATTTTAAATATTAAACTGTATAAACTTGGCGTTCATTTGATAGCAGAAATATAGAGTTAATAATATTATAAAATATCAGTACTACAATTAAATGTCAAATAACAAAATATATTATGCTACAATACTAATTAGTAATGTTTTGACTTTGACGGTTTTAAATCTCATCATTCTATTAAAATATATTTACTCAAATATAACCGGAATATATACACACTAAATCAGTTTTCCATTAGAAAATGTTTAAAGCCAACAAGAAATAATTATATATTTTATTTTCATTACTAAATTATTGTATGCATTTAAGCTGTAATAATAATTCTAGCAACTATATTACTCGAAGGTTATTTATTATTTATATAATAATATACTATCTACTAGCTTAACGGTTTTGTATTTTATTCTGCATTAATATTAATTAATAAATTGTATAGTGTGTGGGTCACAATACATTTTGTTCGCATTGACTCAAGTTCCTTTATTTTGAATCCAAAAACCGCCAAAAAGAAAGTGACCAATAATATAACGTGTACTTAAAATACAATAAAAAATTTACATTATACACATTGCCGGTGTTATTTTTCTACAACAATAATGTGTTACTATTCATAGATTCTACTACTAGAATTTAAAAGTATAATAGAAAATTATAAATGGCACAATTGTGCAGAAACTGTCCAGACAACGAATAAAACTACTAAATGTATTTTTTTGAAAAAAACTCAATACAACTCTAAAAATAACATAACAAAGGTAAAATAAAAATAAATTGGGCACTATAATAACAGCGACAACAACAATAGAATACTCGCCCACCAATTATTTACCGACAAAGAAATAAACCCAAATGTGCAAAACTTGCGGCCAATACGATCAATTGAATCAACAGTGTCAAATAAACCTAAGCCACCTCTTATTTTCTCTTAAAAAAGAATGGCAATTTTCTAGTTCAGACATATTTTGGTCTGGGGTGAAAGGGTTTATGATATTTTTTTATTTTTTTGGTTTGTCAACTGGAAGGGGTGAACTTTTTACATTGTTGGCCCGATAAAGCACCTCTCAGGTTAGATATATTTTATAATCTACACGAAGAAGTCGGTTTAACAGCTATCAAATCACAGTATTATCAATTTAAATAAGAATAGGAGAAATGCCACGAAATTTGGCCTTATAATTAGTTATTTTTTTTTTTGCAAACCAGATAGCTGTGTTGACCAAAGATATGTGTTGGTATAGTTCGTATTTTGTTGTTGATGTTAAGAAATTATCAAAACTTATATGCACATAGGTACACTTACCAAGTGTGGATCAAAACACTGTCTTGGTGATAAATCTCAAATTTTGTTGTGTTGTTTTTGTTTTAGCAATACGGTCCGGCTGATCATAACATATCGGTGGACGTTTTGAAAAAAGCCTATCCGGACTTCCGGGTGACTTGCAACATCGAATGAAGAGTACAGCTCTATACAAAAGCGAATAGATCAATTATTTCACTGATACATTCGTGTACAATCTAATTTTACTTTAAACCCGCCTACAATATCGGTTTTCATTTGGTTTGTCAGCAATAAAATATTTCTCAATAAAAATGTACACAATATACTTAATTATTGAATAAAAGGCGTTTTCGCTCTACTCCTTTCCACCCTCCAGTGACCATTTTAACAGAAGTGCAAAGTGTTTATTACTTAATTGTGTATTTTGCTAGAAATAAATACATTTAATTCGGGTTATGGTTGTTAAAGTAATTAACTAATCAAATATATCAAAGCATGTATATCTATATTTTTTTTACTAGTGTAGTTATAGTGTAAAACTTGCTATTATAACACATTTTTATAGGGTTTTCTTATTTTTTACAGTCTATACATGGTTAAAATGTTCTAGAAAAAAAATACAATTCCACATCCTTATAAAATATAGTCAATACACAGGCGGCTCGTTTAGAGGCTATCTTCACAAATATATCAGAGAAGTAAAAATAACGCCTTAAGTATTTTTTTAAAGAACTAATAAGGAAAAAATTCAACCCACCCTTGTTAATCTTGCGGTATACGTTAACCTAACGGGTGAAATATTTCCTATAGGGATTCTTCACCATTTTTGGTAAGCTCTGTTACAGGTATTAGTGTGAACTGTCTTTGCTCGAAGTAGTCAACATTTTTAAATGTTCAACACTGAAAACAATTTTAGTTGAGTTTAGCAATGATAAAAAAAAATCATTATCGTTGAAATAAATATTTTTCTTTGTTCATAGTACTTTAACCGAACGCGCTAATAATTGTAACTATTATTGCAACAACCCCATTATATATATATATATATATTATTATTACTGTATTGTATGGTAACAAACACAGTTTATATTGTAATAAAAATAAAACATGAATTCGTGCTGCTACTGCTGTACTTGTTTTAGTACCGCCATTTGCTGGTGCCGTCGCCGCTTTGAGGGGCAAAAGGTCAATTAATTTAAAACAAAAAGAGGGTTGTAAAAAAAAGGGGGGGGAGGCGAGAGTTGGCGGAAAACAGTAAAAGGTCGCCGTAGGTACATGTACGACATTTTAAAAACACAAATATAATGTTTTAATTAATATAAATGGTTCTTGGCACTTGTCAAATTGAGAGCAAAACCGTCGCTAAAGGGGAACATTATTATTTAGTTAGAGTAGCAAGAGCCATCTAGGTAATCATTTTCTCGAGTGACTTTATTCGTTTTTAACACACCGGAAATAACGATTGCTCGTATACCTAATGGCCTAGTTTACTTTAATCCTATCCAGGGTGTTCCAGCATGAAAGGTAATAGGTGATTGAACATCTGGGGGACCCCCAAATAAGCCCCCCGTTTTCATTAATTCGATAAGTCAAAAATTGAAGACTTCGACAATTAAGTAAAAAAATAATAACTTAAAAAAAAAAAATTATTCCCTGTTATTCAATGCAAAAAACTCACCTTAAAAGAGGGGTCACATCATTTTCAGTCCCTTTCGGCCCCTAACTCAAAAAATGATAAGATAAAAATGACTAGAGACCAGAAATAAATGATAAGTGATAAAAGATAAATGCTAAGACATAATTCATAAGAGATAAAAGAAAAGAGATAATTGGTAAGAGATAATCTCTAATCTCTCATAATTTATGAGAGATTAGAGATCAATGATAAGAGATAGGTGCTAAATGATAAAAGATTAGAGATAAATAATTAGAAACAAGAGATAAGAAATAAATAATAAGGTATTAATGATAAGAGATAAATGATTAGAGACTAGAGGTAAGAAAAAAAAGATGATAAGAGAAGAGTTAGGGGCTGAAAAAGACTGAAAATGTAGTGACCCCTCTTTTGAGGTGAGCTTTTTGCACTGAATAACAGGGAATAATTTTTTTTTTTTTTGAAGTCATTAATTTTTTACTTAACTGTCGAAATCTTCAATTTTTTACTTATCGAAAAAATGAAAACGGGGTGCTTATTTGGGGGTCCCCCAAATGTTAAATCAACTATTACTTACCTTTCATACTGGAACACCCTGTAAATTCTGTTCTTTAAGACCCACAGACCTAATATCAATTTACTTGTTCATTTAATATACTTTATCAAAATGAATTGTTTGCCTTGTCTACAAAAAAAAAACAACACACGATTTATGTTTGATCCTGATGAAAAAGTAATTTACCAAAAGTCGCTTGATGTAAAAATTGATTCATTTAGGCACACAAGAGTAGACAATAATATGTTTCTGCAACACCGTGTGTACTGTGAAAATAGGACATGGTTAAAATGTGATTGATTAAATCACGAATTCAGACTTTGACTGAGAAGACTTACTACCTTTCTCCGTGTCTTTATTACTTATTCAAAACTTAATATCCATCGTTAATACTCTTGTCTCTTAGTTAAAGACTTCTCCTCATTAGTCCTGTGAATAAAACAAGACAAGACTTCAAAATTAAATGTATTCCTATGCAAGCAAAAAAAAAAAAAAACAACAATACAACAAAATGCTGGCCTGATAGTTGGACATGGCCATGACTTTATTGCTACCTTTGTGAGAAGACATATTTTCTAGACAGAAACGATACCCTTTTAGCAGTGTTTTTTACCGTTTATTCGACGTCTCGACGTTAAGTTAATTTTACATGGAAAAAGGTCGCAGTCTCGTCAAAAGCCCGTCCCACTTATGCTTAAGCGAAGACGCCGGTTCGACTACCGCGAAAACCTTTGTAGTAAATCCTCGCTTGTAAGTCACAAGCAAATTACATTTTGTGTACCAGACACGCACGAGCGGATCACCTGAGAAGTAAAGAAGTATACGGACCATATTTTACATCTTGCACGGTGTGTTCTATTTCTGTTATATTTTTTATTGAAACGCCACGCGGCAACTCGTGGTAAATCCGATTTCCAAAATTGTTTCCAAGAAGTATTCAAACCGTATTGAGCTCACCTTATCTGCGGATAACTGTTTAGGTTTTAATGACCGAACTTGAAGTATAATGTATGGAAATGTCAAGTATGGTGACGGAAGGAAGCTAGACGATTATCAGCCGTCTCTTATCAGCATCCGTAATCAGCTGTTTCTTATCACGGACACACGCACGCAGATATAAATATTAGTGATAAGAATGGAAGTCGACGTCCGCCATTTTTGTGGGATTTATGTGTTTATAAAAAAAAAATATATATATATCTGTGCAGACAGCAGAGTGACCTCTACAATGTCTCACCCTAAAAGGAAGAGACTAAAAATTGAATTTTAAAAAATAAACGCCACTCACATTGTGTACACCTCTCGTACTATTCAACGGGATCTTGCAAAACTAAGAAGGAAGTTTACGGCGGTAGGTAAGTCAGAAAAATCATAATAAATACGCGTGGGAAATATATGAATGTGTCATCCATCATTATGAAACAATGCTCGAGTCGGTTTTTTTTTAAGAAAAAAATAGGAATCGTTCCTTCCTTTTGTACCGTTTGTTTCACAATAGCAATAATATGTAAATCCCTGATTAAAATCTGACTTAAAATCTGGAATAAAATGATCGGTATTTACTCAAAGCCTCGTAAAATTAGTTTTACTTTCATCGCTTTAATTAATTTCCCCCTGCACCGCTCAGGTACCGTGTAAATTATACTAAAAAGGCTTCTTTTGAAACTTGAGAAGTACATACATATAATCAAATATATTGCATACAAAGCTCTGAGGTCCGTTTGTGAAACAATTTTGCTGCGGTTGTTGGGCCGAACCGAAAGACAAAATAATTATATTTAAGAGCACACTTCGTGGAAATGATAGCGAATAACAATCGTTTAAGTTTGTGCAAGCTATTTTAATCAAGTCTCTGTTGTAAACGATACGCCTCCAGAGGGTTTCTGAGAAGATTTCTGGAAACTACAGTGCCTAAGTAACCCTTTTGCAAAAGTCGTTCCCACCTACAACAACTTAAAGCTTAGGTAAGTACAGCTTAGACAAACACGCCCTTACTTAAATTAAACGACTTGTCAACGCAAAAACAAAACGACAAACACGTTTAAAACGAAACATTATTAACACATCGCATTGTTAAAACAATAAACTTTAAACCGACCAATACATTTGTTTGTGTCCAGTTTTTAGAGTTTAGAAATTGAAGAAAATAAATAATAATAATGTATAGGTAAACAAGAATGCTAGTCGCAAAAAAAGCCCTTAAAGTGAATGAAGAAATTGGGCAAGCAATTTAAAATTTTTTTTAGGAAAAACAATCTGTACAAAATAAATTTACAATAAGTTTTTTTTTTGACATTTTCAATAACATATCATTGGTAGCGTTAAAGGAAGTCGCCCAATGGTAATTTTAAATTATGAAATATTTTCTCGAGTCGATTTAGAGTAGAGTCACCACTTGTGGGTTTATTCATAATTGTATTTACTTAAGTCGGTTATGAATAAACCCACAAGTGACTCTCAACTTTAAATTGACTCGAGAAAAAATTTCATAAATTAAAATTGCTTGGCATTTAATTTTTATTTCTTCATTCACTTATAGGGTTTAATTATTTTATCTTTGACAGCTCAGCGGATCAGTGATCCAGTCAAGTTAAACAATTACATTTTTAAAAAAAGTCCGTCAGTTGTCAAGTGAGATTGTTTAATTTTTTATAATATAAACCATTTAAAATAGAACATGACAGCTGCTCTTGTTTTGTAGGCGCAGCCCATGTTGTTTTAAAAAGTATCAATCTAGTAGTGACCTAGTCTTTGATGATATTAAGGAAAATTTCAAAGCCAGTACGTTTAAAGTCATTTAAAATTCAGTACAGGAGAAAGAGTACAGTGTAGTATTGTATATTTTTATTTACATCAAAAGTTCATGTTATTGATTTATATAATAATTTTATAGACATTTGTTAACATCACTCGAATGAGCACATTCCAGTTTATGATTCAGTACGATTAGTTAGTATAAAAAGGGTCAAATCGGTATTGACAAATTTAAACAAGTATAGTGCATAAGAATATAAAAAATATGTTTTTAAATTTTGATGTAAATCTAATTTGAATTTACCAATTGACAGCTCTCTGTACAGTTGTGGTAAAAAAAAACACACTTTTTTTTTTAACCTGCCTGTTTGTTGTCCATGACATTACAAATTATGTCAGCAGAGAATCTCAAACGGTTTTTGAAAGGGTAATGGAAAATAATCGTTTATGCATTTTTAATGTGTGTGTGTGTGTGTTGCGTTTTAAAAAGTTTTAACACTGTCAATTATTTGACATGTTAGTGTTGTGTTTCCCTGGAAATGTGCGCAAACAACTGATGTTTACCTGAAAATAATATGATTTCTATTGTTTATATAGTTTTGTGCTCAAACGGGTTGTCTTACCATCTATTGTAATTCAATACTATGTAAGAGAATAACGTGCAAACTAAACTAGGCCTTATGGCTGTCTAATTCCACTTCTTGAAGATAGACATCTCTAAAATAGTAATACCAGAGTGTACATTTTTGGTAACTCGAATGGTAACATATTATATACATTTAATTGAGTTTTTTTTTACATTAAAAATACTTTAGCTGAACTTTAAATAAACATTTTAACTGGTCGACAAACAGTTTTGGTCCATTGCTTTTTTTAAGTTATTAGAGTTAAAAATATGTATGAGCGCAGGAAGCCCAACAAACATTGATAGTCACATATTATTATCTATTAATGATTGTATCCAATAACACAGAAATTGTTATTCTTTGTAAAAAAATCATTCTGGAACAAAAAAATAGTTTACAATTCGTTTTTAATGTCTCAAAATTGCCAATACAGCAGTAAAAACAATATAAAATAACAATTAAGTTAATACCAATTAGGCAACCATATATATATATATCTACCTACCTATCTCATTTTTAATAACAATAGTTGACATTATAAAATATAATTGATAACAAATATACATTTCACTTAATTTATATTATTACTAAAACAAATAAGAGCACCAGTAAACTAAAAGTATAGACTTTCTAAACTGAAAATCAAACTTTTTAAGAATTAAATTGTTTTATGTACATATGTTGAAATATTGTCTCTGTGACTGGACTAAAGACCAATCAGTAATATAATTCACTCGGTCGGTCCCAAAGAACATATTGAACTTATATTACAACTGACATATTGAACTTTATCACAAAACCCACTGCACATCTTGTAGCTAATTCGCCACTACGACCGGTTCGTTATATTGTGCAGACACTATGTTTGGTTGTACTGTGTTATTTGAACGGTCGTTGTTCCTGAAAAAGACAATTTCGAATGATTTACTTATACATGGTTTTAAAAAAATGCCAGAAACGCAAATCGGAACGACAGTATCCAATTGATAGGTAATTGCTGAATACTAGTTACCTTCTGCCAAACGCAATTCTAATTATGTCTGAAAAAGGCGCATCCACAATCAAATACAACGCAGCAGCCATTAAATACGTTCTAATACTGTCATATATCCATGCATCGACCTGTGTAAATAAATCAAATCCATTCATTGATCAAATCAAGTACTACCGGATAACTTGCGTTTCAAGTTATTGTTACAATGGTAATTATTGTAAGAGAGTTTTGTAAGCTCTTAGATACCTAGGCTCCTGGGTATTACATATGTAGTATGATGTGATGTAACACATTTCAACTAACAAATACCCGTCACTCTGTTAAGATTTGTATTTACTACTTATTTGAACATGTGTAAAACCTTACTAATGATTTAAACGACCAGTGGACGGGTAATCTCTGCGTGGCCGACGACATCAACATGACCGTGAGGTTGACCATAAACACGTGGTATGAAAGTTTGCCCAATGTCACCATGAAACGATTGCTGAACACCTTCGCCAGAGGACCTGAGTTGAAAAAAAAAATGTTCTTTTGCTGTGTTCTGTTTATTCCAATTACTTGTCTTTGCGCTACTAAAATAGTTGTCCTGAGTACTATTTCCGACATTCTGCTATTCCTGCCTCTTCACACCGAATACTACTATTCCGTTTGCTCCTTTAACACTTGCGGTTTTAACTTTTCTTTCCCCTGGCAAATATTATCCAATAAACATTTCGTTGCTTTTCTCACGTTCTCTATTTATTTCATTTATTAATTTCCCTGTTTCAACATGGACATGTTATTGGGCTGGATACAAGCAATTGCGTGGCGCCATTTTCTCGTTACACTTTCACGTGATAAGAGATAAGAGCAAACTGATAAGAGATAAGTGATGTGATAAATGATAAAAGGTAAGTGATAAGTGATGAGTGATAGAGCATTTTTATATCTCCTTCTTTCATTAATCATTTCCAGGATTTCTTCGTTCGTCCATTCTTTCCTTATCATATCTTTTGATTTGATCTAAAATGTTCTCTACATTGTTTAGTACGCAGCGTTTCATATTTTCTCATAATTGTATTATGATAATAATAATATTACTACCGTAACCGGTGGTAAAACAACAAATGGATATCCAGACTGATATCAGAGTCCAAGAAAAATGATGGAAAGTTGCGTATAAAGCATGTTCCAGAGCATTGTACGGCCTATGTCGTTGGTAGAAAATAGCTCCGTATAACTGTATCCACATGCCAACTACCGTGACGACAAATGTTCCAGTATAAACCACAACCTGATTGAACAAACAAATCGTTAGAAATTATGACACTGGACGCAATCGTTTGCCCGTGTACCTACCATAGGTAATTTAAATTTTCTTTCCTTTAACGTCTCCACGAGCATAGACACGGCCAAACCAACTAAATAGGGCACGGCTCTCAAGTAGCTGGATCTGTAGACTTCATCGAATGTCCTTGAACTTCTGACATTCTCGAGAGCTCTTAACCGAGAAATTCATATTAATATTCAAGCGTGTATACACTAGGTGTACAATTTATATTAAATGCATATGTGTATTATAATTTGAACGTCTTTCGCTAAGCAAAAGAACAGATTTTATAAATTTTTATAGGTATTTTAGACCTAAGTATATTCTGTTGTGTTAATATCCAACAAAAAATGTTGACTTTATTCGCTGTTTTTAATTGTGTTTGTTCTGTGGCCTATGCCGGAGTTCTATTGTAGGAAAGGTTTTGTGGCACGTGTCTATTTTTTATTAATTTTGAACCAACTCAGAGGGTGTATCGATTAAAATTCCACTATACCCAAAGTAAGGACCACCTTAGTATACCAAAGCAATATAATTTAATATTATTAAGTCAAACAATAATGATGACAAACTTAACATATTTACAGCACATAACTTGCAAACCGTCGGTAACTTACGGTATGAGTACTTTGACCAGGCCGTCGACTTTCTTGACTATGGTCGTATAGAACGGTGCGAATAATGATATAACCAAAAGCACCGTCAGCAATCCAACACCTAATTTCGGTCTCTTCGTATAGATCAGTATGACTATAATGCCAACGACAAGGAACTGGAAGTCGCACGAAACGTACCAGCTTATAATGAGACACTGTAACAATTATTATTAATTTACAATTATTAAGGATTATGGATACGTTTCATTCGCTATTCACCCGGGGAAATATTTCCTTATACAATTTTCAAATAATGTTTCAGAGTAAGAATTGACTGACGATTAGAATGCAAGCGCGAAAGATTCGAGTAAAAAAAGCAACTAGTTATTTTCTTCACTCCACGAAAATAATTTAATTATGAATATGTTATCTCTTATCACTTGTCTCTTATCATTTATCTATTATTACCACAGATATATATATAATAAACTAGATTGCTAACCAGTGATAAGAATGGAAGTCGACGTCCGCCATATATATATATATATCTGTGATTCTGTGTTATCAACTTTAATTAATAATTGTTATAAACATATTTCCATGTAATAAAATGTTCTATTTCCCACAACGATAGCGGAAAACGGTAACTTCAATTATCTCTATTGACGGCATTGTACACTTAGCAATCTAATATTTTATTGTACATAATATTATCTGTGATTATCCACTTATCTGTTATCATTTTTCTCTTATCTCTTATGACGACGGCGAAAATGGCGACATGACATTTCTTGTATCCAGCTCAATAACATAATATTATCCATAGTAGTAGTAGTAGTTTTAGATATTAGTAGTACCTGATACTTAGCGTCAATGTAGTTGTTGATGAACACCAAGTTTGTCCACCAGTACTTTTGGCAATTCTCTGCTTCCTGCCACGTTTTCAAAGGCCAAAGGGGACCGTTGCCCAGATGAGGTAACACGTGGGCGGTAAACGCCATCACCAAACCGTACGACGGCACCAGTCTGAAACGCCAAAAACGGTGTATTCTAAGTACATTTCAACAGGAACACACTTCCTACCTGGCAAATCGGTACGCCAACGTCGTGGTCAACTTAAGCCACCACGATCCCGGTTTTTGAAATGTCGACTTGAGTAATATGTACGTCACGAAGCCGGTCATATAGAAAAACGGATCGACCAAATTCATGCTGGTCAACAAAATAGAGGGACCGTCCACGTAAATCTAAAAGAAAAAACATTTGAGTACAACAACAGATGTTATAACAAAAAAAAAAATATTACAAATTTGACACACAATATATTGCGATTTACAGGTATTTTTTACAAGATATATATGCGCGCTTACTCGTTCAAATGGCTCGGGATAGCTGAGAGGGGTTGCTATAAAATACATTAACCTATGTCCAAACAGTACGGATACCATCACCCCCACTTTGAATCCATATATAATGTTCAACTCGTTGTTCAAATCGTACTTCAACAGGTCTTTGGCGTTTTTGATAATGGAGAACGTCTCGTACATTCTATAGTCATCCACATCTATAAAAAGTCAGGTGTTTTAGTTGAAGAAAATTAACTATAGTTTAAACACGTTGCCAATATTATGGGCAGCCCTCTCCGAAATGAAATCGTGGCTAGTTAATAGCTGTTATTAATTATTATTGTACCAATCTATTACACGGATCATTTTCTTTGGGCACTAAAACGCATAAGTGTAGCTAAATTGCCTATACTTGACTTACTTGTAGCTTTACTGCTTTGTGTTTTCAACAAGATTGCAAAATGATAAAACGTTGCAACGCAGCACACAAATAAAAGGATAGCAATCGCAGCGCTGTAAATAATTCATATACAATCAATTAAAAAAAAAAAAGTCATCTTACAATATTGACTAATAAAACCGGTTGTAAAGTTTTTTTTAAAATCGTTGGACTCAATCTACATTATTTCTATTTAAAATTGAAAATGTACAAAATTAATAGTACATAATTTTTTAATTACTAATATTTTATAAATGTGTTTTTACCAAGTTATATAATATCCACTAGTGTAAGGATATGTGTCTTTGCTGGTGGTACACATGATCGGATCAACGCGAACGACAGCATTCACTTGTTCTGGATTAAAAACTTTATTCAGTTCCGTTTGTAAAGAATTTTGTAGATCAAGAGCTGAACAAGCCGCAGGTATGCAGATACCAATTTTCAAAAGATTCCGTGGAAATTGATCTGAATAATCAACCCACTGTAGAGTGCATAAAAATTGATCTTTAGTAAATGGCAAGTGCATATTTAGTTTAATAAGACATGTTATATAGTTCACAAACCCTAAGTCTTTCGTCATGATTTTTACCCAGTAATAATTATCTAACATATTATAAATATTTTTAATAGTGTTCGATGTACTGAAACAATCGTTGATTATAAAAATACTTACAGTATTTATAACCAACGATAGAATATAATATACATTTTTGTCAACTGATTTTTTTAAGATACATATGTTATTGAGCTGGATACAAGAAATTTCATTTCGCCATTTTTGCGTTACACTTTCACGTGATAAGAGATAAGAGATAAGAGGACGATATGTGATAATATATAAATGATAAGCGATAAGAGAGAGGTGATAAGAGATAACGTATCCATGATTCAATGTTTTTTATTATTAGGTCTTTATATTTTAATCCAGCGTCGATTTTCATAGTATAATTATTATAATGTATGAAAATTCGCTATACATGTCGGTAAAATTTAAATATAGTTAATATTTCGTTTTTATGCTCTAATTATTTGTTTGTGAGCAAACAACATAATTGCTAAAAACGGTAAAGTTCAAAAAATTACCCCAAGTATTTGATGCCAAGCGTTGTCCGTGTTTTTCGGATAATCCGGTCTGTTCAGCGTGTAATCTTTTTTTGTTGCCGTGTACAATTTTATATCAGCTAAACAGTATTGGCCTTGGACCGGGGAAGCGACATCAACGCATTCGTCGTAAACGCCCAATTGATAGTTGTCTCCGGCCAGCAGACCACTTGGGTATCGATTCCAAGACTCGGCCACTGCAAAATAATTCATTTTACATAGTATTTTCATTAAGTACAAAATATCATTGGCAAACTATTTCGTAGAATTTGTTGCAAATCGATTTGGCATTTGATTTTACAGGAACAAAATCTTTCCACGTAGCTAACCTTAACTTGGCCTTGTATCTTTTACGATACATCTATTTTACAAATAGATAAATTCTCACGGCCAACCTAAAAAGTACTATTAGTTTACTTGTTTTTAGCGTCAAAAAATCAGATCTTTCACTAATTATTTGTATAGTGCAATGCGTAGAAGGCATTATTGGGCATCTTGTTACGGACAAAAAAAAACCGTTTAAAAAAAATCAATTGTCTTTTTTTGATGTGTACCGATGAGTAGTATTGTCATCCAAACCTAACCTAACCGGTTTAGCAGAAACGTAATAGCTAATAGGATAGTTTTGACTGAATTCAGAGACTAGTGCACTGTTACTTGACCTTGTCACATCATCAGCATCAGCTGTGTTATTAGATGAGATTAGATTACATTGCGTTTACTGTACTAATGTAACAATTGACAATTTTTTGGGGGAATATTAATAATTTAATATTGCTTGGATAATACATTAAAATTTGTATAAAGTCAATGTACTATTGCATTATACAATTCAACAGAATAATATATAGGAAGTGACTGAATTTATTGTAGGGACGTGCAAATTTATTTCTTGGAAAAAAATATGTATAACCTATTAATTATTTTAATTGTTTACACATAATAACCATTTGACACATTTAATTCTGTTTTGTTATCACATACAGGAGTAAAATGTCCAAAATGAAAAAAAAAACTTGAAAGTAAGTCACTATAATATGTACTTGATAAATCACAATTATTATCGTCGTTTTGGAATTTGCTTAGAACTTGCATTTTCATTTTATTGAGACATTTAACTACATTCAACTCTTTTTTACCATCCAAGTTCCCGCCCAAGGAAATCCAAATTCATTCATATACTCTAAGTTATATAAAAATAATTTCCCAGATTACCAGGTAAAGAACAACTTATGTGTTCCAGTCTATAATAATATACCGAGTGATTCTATCGCAACGCCCTTACAACAGTTTTCACCTAAAATTATTGCAATTTATGTAGTTTTTCTTTTTGGACAAATTTAAATTGTTAGACAGTAATCAAAAATGCCATTACTTAGTATCATATTTAGCATTTTCCAGGGAGCTTAGTCGACTTTTGAAATTCAACCCTTAACGTCTTGGTGATGTATCTTTAAAGATACACAAAATTTGAAATAAATATTCCAGTAGAAATATAAAAGATATTGATGTATAGACTGTTTTTATTTTCTTATATAGTTTTTCACGCCTTAGGTATTATATTTTTTGTATCGTTTCAAAAACCATGTTATATGCTATCATATTTTTTTTTGGACTAATTTTCAACACATTTTATTTGCAGCTTAAACCCCAAATATATTTAATTCGGCTGCTGGAATCGGATGATGTACGTCTGAATATTTTATTAATATATTAAAATAAAGCCAATCGCTTATTCAGTTATTTAAGTATAAAATCTCATCTCATCCTAATAAGATGCTAATCCAATAAGATACATCACACTTTTCCTTTATTTTCATAGTTGTGTCCAAAAAGACACACAATTCCCGGTAGATAAAATACCTAATTTTTTTTTAATCCAGGTGCATTTCTAACTTATTTTCTTTTTGAGAAATTTCCTAAATCTCAATTGGTCGATGTATCTTTTAAGATACAAATATCAAATTAACTCCACGTGACAGTGTATCGTGACAGTGTTTGCCTAAATATTTGTACCGGTCGATAACCAGTTTTGAATAAAAACAGTCAAGTTTAAAATTTAGACCGGCACCACCGTGAGTGGAGTGCAAAATTAAACGATGCAAATTAAATTCTAGTTACTCTATATTACGATATCTTAAACATTGTAATGAAGTAACTATTACTTACTTCGGACGGCCCAGTAAGTATTGTTTCGCAGGTGCCTGACATAGAGATCAGTTTGGATGTGACAAGCAGAGTCATCGGTGGATTGCACGGTGAAGTCGGCAAACGCCTTATAGTACATATCCGAAATGCTTGAAGAGGGAAACCCATAGTTGTTCTTGGCGCCATAAGACGTTTGTTGCCTTATTATGGAGACATCAGCTCTTGACAGGGTCGACACAGACAGGGTGTACACTAAGTAGTACACTAGCATCTGGAAGCAACACATATTGTCCAAAGTTAGGTCCGAACACAGACGAGCAAACAGGAATAATGCAACAATTTTTTTTAGGTGCATAAGGTGTAGAATATTATCATATAGTTTGGCTCGTGCCAAAAGTGACAATGTGTTTAGAACATACATGGTAATAAAATCGCCAATTACACATCAAAATAAATAATGTTTTGGCGCATAGTCAATTTGTTTTTACACTAGGTCACTTTTGGCAACGATAATAATTAATACAATCAATATTTACAATACTGGATAACGGATATTTTACAACAGCAGAGTAAGATCTTCGCTTCGAGCATGTGTCTTCTCACGTGGTCCTTGGAGTGGTCTTGTTTTCGCAGAATTTCATTAGTCCAAGGATCTAAGAACTTTGCAATATCTGAGAACTAAATATAGTGTCAATTACAGCATAAAGTAAGTATTAATTGTCAAGTTATTGATTGGGCTAGAATTTGGCGGTTGTGTCAGATGATTAATTTCTTATGATATTTTTAAGGAAAAAAAAATGACATAATAACTCAATTATTGTAATTTTTGATAGATTTCAACATTATTATATTTTGCCAGTTGGTCGAAAAAATGAATGAAATGATATTTTTTAATAAATGTTTTTTTAAAATTTTATTTCTTATGTTTTTCCCGACTTGGGTTTCGATTACCTTTTTAAAATTATTTTTTCCTATAAAAATGAATGAATGTTAAGTTTGTAGACAAATAATTATACCAAGTTTACCTTTTCCACTTTTAAAAACGCTATACATTCTTTTTGTTGTTTTAAATAAAGCCGTTGTCCGTTATCTGTGTGGGTTGATGTATTTCATAATAATAATAATTAAGGAGATAGAACTTAGACAACCCCCTGTCCCCCCGGGGGTGTCTGAACACAGGTCTAACATATACCTATAACATGTGTAAAAAAAAATAAAACAAAATAGTTGACACTGGTTAATATATTTCATAGGTACTATCTGGCTGAAATCGATTTGTTGTATTATGTATACACGTTTGTATACCCTGTCGAATATTATTTAGTTTTCAATAGCCGTGCACACCGGTTGCCACAATATTCAAGTATAGTAAGTATGTACATTTAGGCGACCACCAGACTTCACGAGCTGCCGGCAAGTGTGTATTATTAGCCAAATATTTAAATTTAAAATTACAATCCGTACAACATTAAAATACATTTATACTAATTAAAAATGCAAGTGGACAATCTCATTGTCGAATGAACTTATTGTCAAACGACTCAATAGTGGCAAACGACTGTAATAGTGAATGTCTTGCAAGTAAGGACTTGTCTTAGTTCATCATTGTTACACACACTTACAAGCATGGCGGAATAAAGGTAAAAATTCAACAACACGGATTGAACCCATTTGAAGTGTCATTAGTAAAAATTATAATAATGCAAGTCCACCACAGCGGTCTATGCCGAATGTGTTAAATATTTGATTCGTAAGTAGATATAGCGTGTGTCTACCACACAAGTCAAATGATATTAACCAAAGTATAACTCTGAAAATTAAATATATCATCAACCATGACTGATAAACGTTCAGACAAATTATTTAGACTCAAAAAACCTTTGAGTGTGTAATGGTAAAATATTCAAATGTATAATATAAGGTAAGGGTAACACATGGAATTTAGAAATATATATATATATATATCATTTAGAAAAAAACAATACCACTTGAGTAAAATTAAGTAAATTACTTAAATTACTTAGGTAAATTTAAATTAGCTTGTCGAGCTAAGTGTCTCGGTTAAAGAAGACGGTAAGTGAATTGTTCGTATAAAAATGTCAAACGAATCAAACAGCAGAAGTTGACGATTTTAAGTATCTAGGTGCCAACATTAATCACTGACCAGTGATAATGTGAAAAGTGGCCAGGAAGATGAGAAAAATCCAGCCAGTCGTGGAGAGAAAATTATTTAGGAAGGCTGAAAACAAAGAGGCTGGATCGACAAAAGCAACAACAAATTATCGCAGTTAGGGATAGACCATTTTAAGTGAAATAGATGGACGGAAGTTTGTTTTATTTATTTATTTATATTGACAGTATACACCAGTAAGTATTTTAAAAACGTACAACAATATATCTAAGCAATAACTGTAGTAATATAATTTGCAGCTACAAAAAAACATTACACTTATTATGTAAAATAAAATTCTACACTTCCGACGAAACAGTTGTTTAACTTTATAATTGACAAAACTCGTCTATCGATTGGACATGGTGGCAGAAATAGAATGGAGTAGAAGTATTGAAATCTAAAAAACTTATCATAAACAAGAAACAACAGCTGAGGCGTTCAAGCAACGAAAACAGCTGTTCTAATACATTTACATACAAATCTACTGCATACCAACACCTATCTAGTATACATATATATTTATAGTTCAAAACATAAAAGCGGCGGTTTAACGGGTCGAACAAAGAATCTATTTTCACACACACACGGTATTAATACCTAATGCTTAATTATAACAACAGGTATACGGACACATAGACCATAAAGCAATAATATTATATGGGGTGTACGATAAAATATAGTAGATAGAATTTTTGGAATGAAAAAAAAATTAAATCACAAGTACTCACACAAAGTAGCCGACAAGGGACTCGAACCTGAAGACGGAGCACTGAACGTGTTATACTTTACACTGTCGGTGTGAGATTGTTTAAGAATTTTTTTTTCTTTCAAAAAGGTTATTTTTGAAAAAAAACAACCGATCAGCTTAAAAGGACTGCGCAATTTGTATGTTAATCGGCAGCGGACGGATCGATGACATAGTGATTTATTGGTGTGGGAAATGACAGTGCATGAAATATGATTTCCAAAGACTTGTACTTGGTAGGTACTTCTTTTTTGTTATTCTATAAACCGATTAGACAAACGGCAGATAAATGCGATAAAAAACCGTAATACATCATAGAAAATGAATTTTTTTACAACTAGGAAGAACTCGGCACGAGCCATAATAATATTATAATAAACGCATCATTTTGCAACGATAATAGTAAATATATTAATAATGTTAACGAGACTTACCTGGCAAGGATAGCGACTATGAGACGAGGTGTGAATATTCAAGTACAATATTACACCTGATATGGACACGGCAAACGTTTTAAATGTGGTGTGAATGTTAAGAAATTTCCATATCCCTTTGTAATTCCTGTGTTTACTAGTTTATGCCTTTTCTCCAAGCAACAACAAAATGGCTTACTTTGCTTGTCTAAGGAGGAGACGGTGTGCACACATTCAAGGCAATGGTGGGTCAGACACGGGAAACGTCTCAATGTGGAAAATTGTACTTACAAAGTTCAGCGTACACACCGGTATTGCAACAATATTCAAGTATAGTAAGTATATACATTTAGGCGACCACCAGACTTCACAAGCTGCCGGCAAGTGTGTATTATTAGCCAAATATTTAAATTTAAAATTACGATCCGTACGACATTAAAATACATTTATACTAATTAAAAAAATTCAAGTGGACAATCTCATTGTCAAACGACTGTAATATTGAATTTAGCAAGTAAGGACTTGCCTTAGTTCATCATTGTTACACAGAGTAGATTATGCGAAAAACAATATTTGGCAGCCAATTACAGGAAATCAACTGTGATTTGGACTTGGTTCATGGTTTACCTATGTATATGGTAAGTATACATTTGGGCGACCACCGTGGACTCCATAAGCAGGTAAGTGTGTTATAAACCAAATATTTTTGCACAAATAACGTGTTCGGTGTAAACCTAATTTGTAATGACGACTACAGACTTACAAGCATAAAGGTAAAAATTCAACAACACGGATTGAATCCATTTGAAGTGTCATTAGTAAAAATTATAATAACGCAAGTACACAACAGCGGTCTGTGCCAAATGTGTTAAATATTTGATTCGTAAGTGTGTGTCTACCACACAAGTCAAATGATATTAACCAAAGTATAACTCTGAAAATTAAATATATCATCAACCATGACTGATAAACGTTCAGACAACTTATTTAGACTCAAAAAACCTTTGAGTGTGTAATGGTAAAATATTGAAATGTATAATATAAGGTAAGGGCAATACATGGTGGCAGAAATAGAATGGAGTAGAAATTAAAATCTAAAAAACTTACCATAAACAAGAAACAACAGCTGAGGCGTTCAAGCAACGAAAACGGCTAAGGCGAACAGAACATGGTGAAGTACTGTACTTGTCAAGTTCAATCGAACACGGTCGACAGTATAATAGGTATAATACATTAATAATTTATTAATAAAATCTTGCAGTCGTGGAATAGGCCTTCTTAGACGGTTTTGAACGACACACCGGACGTGAAAGTGAAGGAACGTTTGGTTTGTCTGCAAAAACTGTTCCAAGAGGGGAAACCACGCCAAAAAAAAAAACGAGCCTGTTACTCTTACCTCGAGGGTGGTTTGGAAAAAGAGTATAATATTATTATTATTGCACACACAATCGCACAAGTACTCTTCTGTAAGTAAGACAGTCCGACTTGCCAGACGGGCATGCTCGGTGTAACAATTGTTGCCTATACTTGGCTCCTGTAATGGAGTAGCGATATATATTGCTAGTCATAACTATGTTTTAATGAATTTATTATTATTTATCCATTGTTTAATTTGATTTTACAAATTTCCATACAACCGAACAGTTATGGATTTAAGCACCTAACGAGTAAGTAAACCGTGTAATACACTGCGAGCGGTACGCTGTATTTTTTATGAAAAAACTGTTACTAGTATATTTTATTTGTGCAGTAATGTATTAAAAATAATTGTTAAAATTGATTGTATAAAAAATCATTGTACAGTGTACAGTTAATGTCTAACCAATACAATAACAAGTCAACTAGAGTAAATATGCCAGTCGATCAATACACGGTTGCTCTTGTATTAAAGGGCGATTCTCCAACTATGGACTTGGCCCAAATTCGAGTTCAAACCAATAACTGCGAATGTAAGTAAAATAATAATTTTTAAAAGTCTTAATATATTTTTTAAGATCTAAAAGGTACCAAAAGAACCGACTATCGACCCATATACCATGGAGCAAGCATATAGAATACAGAATCGAGTAGATGGTACGATCAACAACGGCCACTCGTCAGTTATTTGTTCATCGATAGACTCGTGCAAGATTTAGTGGTTTAAAAAACATCTTAATTAAAATATGTTTTCAATATAGTAATTAGGTTTATAGAGTTATATATATTATTTTATGCCAGACTGCCACACAGACATTTTTATAGAATAAATTAAAAACATTTTCCCGTCACAACTGCTTTGCGAGGGACAAGTGTTGTAATTCTACTCGAGTACAACTCAAAAACAAACGTGTGGTGTGGCGTCCACTTTAACAGAATTTTTGATTAGGTTACATTGTGTATTCTTGCCGGCAATAGTGAAATTATGTTTTTATTAGACACAAGACAATCACATTATAATATCAGCTTGGCTATAGCCAAGCATCGAGTTGTACAATAACACTTACATAGAACGCATCTTATATTATAGAGATACATGTATACGTACGAGTCTATTAATATAGTAATAATATATATATACTATATAATTATTGTGTACATTACATAAGTCGTAAACTTAATCAAGTTTATAATACGCCTTTTTAATACTTAAACTAGTTAATATCATTAAAACACAAATATATTTCAAAACTAATATCAAATCGATAGTAGAATATTATCAATAATATTGTAAAATAAAAGCACTTAAATAAAAAATATATATATATATTATCAATATTGGAAATGTAAAAAAAATGGAACTTGAAATACAGGTTTTTTGGAATATAATTTTAAATGTACTTAAAAATAAAAATTAACAGCTAGTTTTTTAATTTTTTTGGTGTATTTTAAGATTGGCCACGGTCATTGCTAATATCACAAAATATACGGCACTTAACACACATTGTGTACCCCCCCCCCCCTAGAAGCCTTGGAGTTTTAAAGAAAACAATTACCCACAAAGTATACAAGAATAAATACAACTATGGAATGTAGCTAGAGGAGAATTGGCATGTGTAGTATAGTTTTAAGTAATTAAATTAAATGTTTTGTCTAGAATGACTGAAATAACAGCTATAACTGTGCTTAAAGACGATATTTTTGATTTACAAGAACACACATTTGGACAAACGGAACAAAGATGCAGAGATAAGTCAAATAGAGTAAAAATTAAGAAAGGAAAAAAATTAAAATATAAATCATAAAGTAAGGTAAATTAAACGAGAGGATAGCTGGCACTGGAAGCGATACCGCAGTTGTTACTCTTATTACGAGCCATCAAAACGTAGCCTTGGTCGCCCCAGACCGTGCCCCAAGAATTCTTGACGATCCAATAGTCTCCTCCCTTGCTGTCGGTACCGTAACCAACGGCCAGCACTCCGTGGTCCAACTGTTCCGAGCTGCAACGCGGATTGTAGTAAACTCCTTTCTTGTAGAACTGGAATTTCTCGGACGAAGCGTCGATGGCGACGGAAATCGGACCCACAGTGGCCAAAGCGTTCATCAGACTTTCTTCGTCGCCTTCGGGAATGTCCACGAAACCTTTGTCGGTGGCGGCGGCATTTTTGGGATTGTAACGACACTTGTCGTCCTGTCGACGAGCAAAAAATAATAAACAAATGCGCAATTTATGTGCTAATAAAGTTTATAACACCACAATATGCACATACTTCGGCTTCGTAAGGATAAGATTTCTCGGTATCGAGACCTTTGTTGGCTTTGATGTACTTAAAAGCCAGATCCATGAGACCACCTTCGCAGCCGTTGTTGCCGTACTTGGTCGAGCAGTCGATCAAGTTCTGTTCGCTGAGCGAGACCAATACACCGGTTTTACGGAAATGTTGACCTTCTAGCGAGCCAGTCTAAAATTTCAAATAATCAAGTTAACTACTACAGCCGTTAATACTTATTTTCATTTATACATATACATGACTATCAAAAAAGTAAATAAAAACAGAAAGGGGATTTTTCAAACATAGATATGATAGATGGCCGTCAATGCGTTTAGACGTATTCTCAAAAATAAAGCTTGGCGTCCACATGCAGTGTGGTCAATGTTCAAATTATGTTATCAATAAATCATTGTGGTAATGAGATACATAAGGTTTACTTAGTTTAAGGTATATTACTATAATTATATCTCAATGAAATATTGATAACACCGTATAAACATTGACCACACTACATATGGTCGCCAAGCTTCTATGAAAAAACTGAAGTCGGCTATCTAGTAATATATATATATTCAAACTGATTTCCTACAAAAGATATAATTTTGTTGTGTATTGCCATCGAGTGTTGGTTTCAACTCTATTTTTGCGTTAGAGTCAAAACACTACTCACTAAATAAATATTAACACAGCTTTACCATGCATGTTCACAGCGCATTTATTGTATGTTAATATATGAGTCATATTTAATACTTTTTTTTTAGAAAATAATACTGAATATTATTAAGTTTTCATAAACTTAGATTCCATTTTTTTTTAAAACATAAAAAATCGCAGAAACCAAAATCGAGAAAAACGCCCCCAAAATATTTACAAACTAACATTACGGCGCGCTATAACTTTATTTAAAAATAATGCAATTGACTGAAAAATTTGTTCTCGATAAAATTATCGTAGAGTTTAAGAAATACTAGTCCGTTGGTTGAATTTACGGCATCTTAAGCACAGAAATATCAACACCTATATAAATATCGTAGTTAAACTAATTTAGAAAACCCGTGATAATTGTCAACAATCTTAAAACCCCAAAAAATTACATTACGATTCTACTTCCTGATATAAACTATTGTTTAACCTAACTGCTGAAATTCTAAAACGTAATGTTAAAATGTCGTATACAAACAACTCTATTTGAACGTCTGTAAAAAAAAACACACGTTATAGCTGTACACTGTTTAAAGATTATACAATAATACTTACAGCACTGAAAGACCAACAGGATCCACACTGTCCTTGGTTTTTGATCGGAGTGACATAACCTTTCTTTCTCCAATCGACGGCCGGCGGGAGGACAACGTTTTCTGCTTTCAAGAAAGTCACGGCGTCTTCGTCGGAATAATTACGAGCTCCTCTGACGAGTTTGCCTTTGAATCCGTTCACCATCGAAGCGTACTCGTGTTGCAACTACAAATAATATTATATTATTAATACATATTATATTTCAATAAATACCGCAAAAATTCTGTAGCGATATTATAATTGGTTTATAAGATGATATTTCAACACACCAAATCACCGAAATGATTCATTTCCAACTGGTACGTTTCTTCGCCGCTTTCGTACAGTTGATTGTGTCTGGCGATTTTCAATTTGTTATCCAAATAGATTTTCCTGCGTAATCCTTCTTCGACAATATCGTTGTAGATTTTCTTAAATTGGGCCTGTCAAAATAAAATAGACCAATCGTATTTAGTTAATACCGACTATGTTCATCAAAACCGAATAATTATACGAATAAACATACCTTGAACAAATTCCATTCTTCTTCAATCACTTCGTTTAAATTTAAATTATACGAATAAACATTGCTGATAGCACAGACAGCAAAACATAAAACCACAGCGATCTTCATGATGCTGGCTAAAAGAAAAGAAAAAAATACTTATTAGCCTAAATTTTCATAAAAGTATCATTGATCATTTTCGATTTGATGTCTATACATAATTTATTTATTATTAAAACAATTGAATAAATTATTATCACACAAATATAGTTACAAAATTATATCTGAAAATTTATAGGCAGTTAAAATGATAAAAACTACGCAACAACAAATAGTAGAATTAAACTGTCGTCGAAATATTCAAAGGTGATATTTAATGAATGTCTGGCGATATGTTGGAAATCATTGTAAGTTTATCGAAGAAAGGCAAAGGCTATCTTAATAGTAATAGGCTATCTATTAATATGTTATTGTTAACATTTCCTAAAGCATTGTGTAGCACACGATTATCGGACGGGAAAATATTATTTATCAACTTGAACTTTAATCCCCATTGACCACCATTATGATGACAAACATTAGATAATTTTTCAAATGGTTTTCCCATTGTGCTAAAAACAAATCGGTTGTTCCTCGACACAATTTATACAAATATGGAATTTAATTTTAATTTTAGTACAGTTCCATTTTACACTTTGCTTATTTTAAATTGTTTTTTTCAAACAAAAAAAATAGACAATTAAATGAAAAATTAAAATTATTTTTAAAAAAATAATGTCTCGTGAATAAACGAGATATAATTTAAAAAATAAAATAAGATACCATATTTTTTACACCACATGCGCTAGTGTTAAGTGTACTGATACGAATGCATAGGAGAAAAATGAAAAAAATAAGATAGTTTCATAATTTGCTGGACAGTTAAAATGTATAACTTAAAAATTATGAAGCTGTTCTAATATGTTTACATACAAACCTACTGCATACCAACACCTATCTATTATACTATAAATTTATAGTTCAAAACATAAAAGCGGCGGTGTAACGGGTCAAACAAAGAATCTAGCCTGCCGTATTTTCACACACACTGTATTAATACCTAATGCTTAATATAACAACAGTCGCGAAGTGATGAATAAACCGAAAAAAACGTATTGGCAATTAAAATGTATCGGTATACAGACACATAGGCCATAAAGCAATAATATTATGGGGGTGTACAATAAAATATAGTAGATAGAATTTTTGGAATGAAAAAAAATTAAATTACAAGTACTCACACAAAGTAACCGGCGAGGGATTCGAATCTGGACGGAGCACTGAACGTGTTATACTTTACGCTGTCGGTGTGAGATTATTTAAGATTTTTTTCAAAAAGGTTTCCTTTGAGAAAACAATGGATCAACTAAAAGAACTGCGCATTTTATATTTTAATAGGGAGTGGACGGGTCGATGAAAGAGCGATTTAATGTGGTGGGGAATGACAGTGCATAAAATATATGATTTCGAAGGACTTAGTAGGTACTTTTTTTGTTATTTTATATATTGAGTGGACAAAAGTATGCGATAAAAAAACAATATACAACATGGGAAATATTTTTCGCAACTAGGAAGAACTCGGCACGCGCCATAATAATAATAATATAATAAACGCATTATTATTTTGCAACGATAATATTATTGTATTAATAACGTTAACGAGACACTTACCGGGCAAGGATAGCGACTATGAGACGAGGTGTGAATACTAGAATACTCGATTTTACCTAATATAGGTGTAAAAATAAAAAAACTAATTAATCAAATTCCTCTCAAACGAGATCCGTCGTCTTCTTGCTCTGACAAAAACGTACTACGCAGTATGTTCTGAATTATTGTATCGTTGTGCGATCAAAAACGACCGAACAGTGAAATTTATATGTTGATAATGGCATATGAATATAGTACACCTGCTGCAGGCAGCTATAGCTTTTTTGACATGAAAAAAAAATAATACAATTTTAAACACAGCTTGGCGAACAGCTGACGTTATATAGGGCACGGGCGGGAGAGGGGCGGAAGGTTAGGAGAAGAGGGTGGTAGTCTTTTGTTTTGTTTTGTTGTTATCGATGGCGGCCAGTGTGACCAAGAGCGGCAACGCTAAAAACCAGCAGCAGCAGGGTGGCCCGGTAAAAAGGCCCAAAAAAAAAAAAAGCCCGCTTGTTTAATAGCACACTTCGTTCTAGTGAATAATAAAAAAAGGAAAATCTATTAAGTTTAGTAAACTATCAAATAGGTATCTGATCAAGCTGAAAAAAATATAATAGGTATAACATAAGTTTTAACGTTTTCATTTCGAATACATAGCCTAAGACGGCCATGATAATGTTTGTGAGTAGGTATAAAAAATGTATTTCATATATTATTATAACAGGTAAATTACTTGATTATCGATAATTATCGTAACGTTATAAATTATAAATATATAAAAATACAACTGCGTATTAGGTACATAAAATTAAAACGTATTTAACATTCATCAAAGAGGACGTCACACTCCCATTTATTGAGGTATAGGCAATTTTTTTATAAAACTTAAACGTTAAACTTTGATGTGTGTAATATTATTAGTTTAGTAATCAGGACCTCTTTTTAGGTAGTTGATATCTCCTGGAATAATAAGTCAGTTATACTTGAAAAGGGAAACCCTTGTGTCCAGACATTTTGTGTAGCAAAAAACACTATCATAAAGTGAGCAACAATGCTAAATCTGTCGGTATTATTATAAAGAATCTTTTTTTCCTAATGAAAACCTAATTAACCGTTCAATATAAACAGCTACGACTTCAAATGAGGAAGAACTCGATGTGTTTGAAAACAACATATTAATATTACTTTATTCGCGTGGTTCTTTTATTATTTATAAAAAAAAAAAACCGGTACCTAGAAATGATGGTATCTAAAAAAAAAACACTAGTCAAATTTGTTCTATTTGTTTTGTAATTACTCTCTATATCCGAGCCTGCTTCCGTATTTTGCCAACTTAAATACAATACACAGTTTGAAAAGTGACCATATTATAAAAATCAAGTGATCATGAAAATATGTCAATTATTATTTGTACATGTTTCATGTATTCAAGTACAGTGACATAGTAGATATCCAACAGTTCGATAAAATTACAATGAAAATATTGTTTTTGAAATATATAATTCATATTTTAAGTTTAAATTGGTACATCGTTATAAATATAATACCTATTTTGCTACTACTGTTAGCCACGTGATGTAATTTTATCTCTTTGTCTCGTGTAGTGCCACCGTCTTGAATTTTTTTTAAATTATGCTAATAACAACAAGACTTCTTTGTTTGTTAAAAAAAAAAATTACCAAACAAACAAACCGCCTCACACGCTTTGTTGATATGAGTCATTAAATGTATTTACATTTATTATTTAAAAAAAGTAAACATAAAATGATTTCACAAATAATTTATTATTGCACACTTCTTGTATAAAAGGCGTTGTTAAGGACTATGATTAAACCTCCCCCCCCCCCCATTTGGGCAGTTCATCTCATTGCGTTTTATTATTGTGTATTGTATGAAAACCGTGCGAAAAAATCGAACAACATTTTTGTTTTTGCATTTTTCGTTGGATTTATCGGATTTTTGTACTGTACATATTATTATGGTGACCATTCATTATAATATTAGTTCATAGGATACAACTGCAATAAAGAACAAACGATTAATTATTTTTATAGAGTAGTTTACAATTGCAATAATTGCACTTGTACTATTTGAAGTCCTCCCTATCTAGTGTATCGTTTTACACTGTGTATAACATAAATGGCACATTTTTTTTTTTATTGCTTACTATTTACTGATAAGCTAGTTTTCCAAAATTGAAATCAAATTACCAACATTTTTCAAGTAATATGAGTAATGCAACTTACAAGATTTTTTATCACATAATTTAGTTCTATTATACATGTTTTTAATAAAATCACCGGATATGACAAATATATTATGGTTACAGTTAAAATAATTATATACATCATTACAAGTAGACATGTGTTATTCATCATTAGGTTGTATATGTTTGGTAATTTCTATATTTCAATAATGTTATAAAACAATTTTGGTGGACTAAAATATTTGTTACCTAGCTATGGCCCCAATAAATCATAATTAATATTATTACCGTCGTTTATAAATAGGATTTTTTTTTTAGGAAATTAACGTCTTGTTGATATGTTTTATAGCTAAACTTTCAAAAGTACATAGATAAAACGCTTATATTATTATTTCACATCAAAACCTACTAATTGAAGTGAAAACAGCTTAAAAGTACTATTATAATATTCAATTCGTTACTTAAACACTCCTGTTTTTTTTTTACAACCAACATTGGAAAACTTCACATTTCACATTTAATTATGGTTGCTTGTGGATAAAGATGAAGATAATATGATTAAAAAGTTCAGTCAATAATCAAAAATGCTATTAAACGAATGTCACGACAGTAATCAAATAGCCTTATTATATGTGGCAATATTTTTCCTCAATGCAAAATTTTAGTTAAATATAATGTTTGAGTAAGAAAAACGATGCGCATCAAGCTGATAATTTGGATTTTATGTAATTTTCACCAATGGAAATAAATCAGTTATGACATAATATTTTATCATCTTCGCTTGAGTCATTATTAATACTGCTTTGGCTATTATAAAACCCGCGATAACTGGTACGGATAAAACGACCGTCGAAAACAGGAAAATATTCAACCGGTAAATTTGCTTTTGGCAATTCAAGTTGAGAAGAAGGAAATTGTTACAAATATGACAATAGTCATATTTAAAAAAGATGATTTTTTAAAATAATTCAATATCCCACACTTACCAGTGAAAACTCCGGCGGTGTCTATATTATAGATGTTATCCGGAATAGTACACGATTTCGAATAAAAATTAACACACCGGTTATTGTATTTAGAAAAAAACAAAATTACAAAAGCGGTGTGGCTATCAAGAGACTTTAGTTTCAGGTAATATCAGCAATGTCTGATAATATTGTGTATAGGTCGTCGTTGAATATTATTTTCGTTGACTAACATACACATAGCGATTACATTATTGATTTAAAACTAGGAGTAAACATTCGAAACAGACACATACGCCTTCCACAGGTATAAACAAAAATTATTTTATACAGTAGTTACTAATGGACAATAGACAAAATCTGGAAGGAGTTAACCACATGCTCGAGATGTGGAGAATAGCCCCAAGGACCCCAAGGATTAGTAGAAATAAAACAGAATATATATTATATAGCTTACGAGAAAGACCACAAAGAGGCGAGGTTTTCAATGAGACTTAGAAGTAAGTACTACAAGATTGTGGCGAGATCTACAGTGGACAGGGAAATAGAGCTGAGAATAGATGATGGTTGGATCCGATTGAGAGGGCTATGCCGAGGTCTGTTGATAACTTGATCAGCAGCTGATGTAAACGGGATAAGGGCGAGAGGTCAGGATAAGAGGGTTAGGATATATTATTTTTTGTTTTGTTATTGCAGTTGGCAGTTGGGGATTCATTGTACAATCCGACAACAGGAGCAGCTGATCGACGTGCAATGGTGGCAAAAAGCGGTAACTCTGACACCACAGTAGGGTGAATAGATCATAATATAATATGGTCTACTGTGTGGAAACACAACAGTACTGGCTAATATCGTTGGGTACAGAGTACAACGATGGTAATACAATATTCCTCATTCCTGAGTGCGTAAAGAGTTGCTTGAATTTCAAACTATCATAAACCTATTATCGTTTTTTTTTGTTTTGGCTGCTGACTGCTTAAGTCTGGTCAATTTGTATTTTCTATTACATTTTACTATTGTACAGTCAAATATATTATAGTAATGTGCTTGCTCTTGTTGGCGACATATAGACATTTTTTGCCACCGTGTAACAATATTTAATCATATTTTTTGTTATTATTTCAATTCAGCTGTCGGTCGGACAAAGCTGAGTCATCTTCGCTATCTTCGCACAACGGAAATGTATATTTTGCACAAAAAATAAACTATTAATTTATGCACACATACACACAAGATAGACAGACAATGTCTGTTATTTGTTCAGCGAATTTAATCTGCGGAAATCATTCGAACCGTTTCATAACATAATAATAATATTATTCTCTATTTATATTTTATCTGTGAGCGTTACTACTCAACAGCACTTCATCGCCTACCGTCTTTCATAATTACACCTATTTGAAACAGCCAGTCTGCAAATTGTTCTTGATTTAAAAAATTATTATAATATAAACATTGATAAATCTTATACGCAAAGGATGGGGAATTTATCGTTGAAAGATATATATCAAATTTGGTCTGTACCTAAGAAAAATTCAAGTCTAATATATGGACAAGTTATTGATTCGGTCATAGTTAACACCTTGTAGTGTCATGTTATTTCTTACAATGGTTCAAACAATGGTTTGTATACAACACACTGTTCACAGATATATTATATTTTATGTCACACTAAAGTTTACACTTTGGTTGGATTATATTTACCTAAAAAGCGTATTACCGGTTAAAATAAGTCACATCGATTATTATTGAAATAAAATATTAATACATTTCCAAATGGAATTTACCGATTTTGTGCAACTCGACACAATAATATTGATCAAACGGACAAAGGCCGTTTATGATGTAAATTGATAAATTTCAAAGGTCAAATGTATTAACATTAATACAACAAAGGAAATAAATTAAACAGCAGTGTGCTTTGTGTTATGCATAAATAATATCAACAACGATAAAATCGAAAAACTAATAAAACAATAGGTGTACATTTATTAGATATTATTATTTTAAAATTGATCAATACAACACACAGCACCTACACCTAGTGGTTCAAACAAAACATTTTAAAAAACGGTCAACTTCACAACAATTGTATGGTTTTTAAAAATAGTATTATAAAATATTATTGAATTCAGACTAACATTAATATTAGACATTAATGATAAAAATAAAAATAAAATTTAAGGTAACCAGTAAAAATAATGTTTTTTATTTGAATAGTAGTATAAATTATTTGTGGGAAATTTCAATAAAATAATTATTATTTTATAACATATTATATTATAATAACAACATAAACATGATGATCGGCAGTGGTTCATTTTAATGCTCTTATAATGCTGATATGGTAACTAATTATTACAAATATCATTTTGAATAAAATTAAATAAAACGAAATAACTTCGTGGAGAATTTCTTTGGTTTTCTATAGGAAAGAAGTAATGTGACATGTCTTGGAAAGAAGCTAAGAGGTAGCTCAGGAAGGACAGTGGGTATGAATTAACTGATTCTGAAGAAAAGGAAAAACTGTGTAAGGTTCTCACGTGGAAGAGATAACAAAAATGAATAAAGAAAAGTTTAGAGAAACGTTGAATGAAAAAAATGATTTAACTTTGGATAGATAGTTCATTGACACAAATAAGGAAACAAATAAAAGAAGACATGTTCGATTCACTTAGTGACGGGGTAAGTTTTTACATTATTACTACTCTTCATACAATTTTTTAAACTTTTTTGGGACAAGATTCAATTATTAAAACATTAATTTTATAGTATTAAAATCACTGAATCTGGCCTCAGATAATATACATTACAGGAATTATGCGTATAGAACATGTTAATAATAATATATTTGTATAACATGTTTATTGAGAGGAATAAATTGAATTAATGGTAGTGTATATAATTTTTTTTACGTTCAGGTGTATACATTTATGAGATCACTTCCAAGTGAAATCAGAGTTGTTGCTACAATGATAATGAAATCAAAATTTATAAAAATGCACTGGTCCCCCCCTTTCTGTAGTTAGCAATTCAATTGTATACTAAATATGTTTATTTTTTGGCCGGGTGTACGTCCCTCGTGCCCAAAAAACTGACCCATTTTTTTTTATCTAAAGTACCTCCATCTAGCGTTAAAATTGTGAACTATAGATGAACAATAAACAACTGAAAATATTTTAACCGCGTCGGGTAAAAACCATTTCTTTCACATGCTATCATAACAAAAAATTGAAACTACCGAATTAAAAAAAAAAAAAAATTACCACCTTGTAGAGGGAATTTTGTGGAGAATATTTTAAAAGTAAGAACACATTTTTAAGTATAATACTTTTTGAAATACAACAAAAACTTATTGGTTACACAAAACGTTTGGAACAAATGGTGATTGGAAGAAAAAAGTTGTCGAACAAATATTACCCACCCACTATAACGTTATCACCGGTTTTCAGTGATTGCTGCATTTTATACCGGTTGTTAGGGATCAGAGCTACTTGTCTATATACTTTTGTCTATGATCAGAACCTTGACAGTTCACACACATTCTCATTGTACCTATAGCTGTGTAATAGTAAGACGTAAGTACTCAGTAACATTATGGTTCTATTTATTAATTTATAACAATTCGTTCGATTCTGTAGTCTACGTGTAAGGCATTGTATTTTTTAAATAATTTAAACAGTTTTCAAACATTGTTGAAAAGTTATTGTAAGAATTGCCATCTGTGGTTGTAGGGACGATAATTGATAAGAAGTCACGTGAAGGCATCGAGATAAAGAGAATACACTTTCTTATTATTATTAATAATATTATTATTCTTTAATTATTATATTATTAGTATTTTTTCGGTTTCGACTGGTTTTTTTTCCCTCTTAATTGTGAGATCTATATTTTACATTTAGTGTGAATAATATATTATTGGAATGGAATGTACAGCTGTATAGTTTCTCATAGCATTACTCAATAATAATTGGATATGGTCAACTGTTTGAATATTGACCGAACCATATTGAGATCGGCTGTTGTTCTACAAAGTGCATTATGAAATTTTAAACAATTTAAAAGTGTTTTTCATACGTTCATTTTTTGAGTTATAGAGAGAACTGTGGTTGTGGAAACGACAGTTGAAAAGTAGGTTTTTTTGTCAATTGTGAGTTCTATTTAGTGTGAATAACATATATAATTATTATTGATATATATGTATTGTTTAAAAAGTTTTATAGTTTCTCTAGAGTTTTCTTTTATACCATCTGTAATGTTTTTATACTTTACCAATCCAGTCAATTTTTAGTTTTAAATATTATCAACAAGAATATTAATACCGATGGCAAAAGTCGTCGGGTAATATTCATCGTAGTAGCATTGGTTATAAATTTTACAAGACGCATTTATATATGTTTATTCCATAAATAATTTTATACATTTCAAACGGTTTTTATTTAATAAATTACATAGTGTGTGTTTTAATTTTGAAAACTGTTTAATGTTTAAAAAAACATTTTAAAGTGTTGACACATGACTTTAATGAGTTATAACTTCAAACCATTATAATACCATCCAACCAGTAATGGTTTGGTTATTACTTATTTAATGGATACTTATTTAATCATTATTTTTAATTTGTTACTGTTGTTAAGTAGTCATTATTTTTTATGCTATAAAGTGTATATTTTTTCTTATTATTATTATCTGACAGAAAAGAAAAAATATTTTTTAATTATGTAAAAAGTATAATTAATATAATTATACAGAAAGTGAAAACTAATTTATAATTTTATGGAGAAAGAAAATTGTATTTCATATTGTGTGTAGTATTAAATTTTTTAAGATTGGATAATGTAATTTTTAAAATACGCTTTGTTTTTTAAAGGTAAACTAGTGAGAATCAAAAAATACTAAAAATAATATGGATAACGATAATGGTACCATGATCGAAACAGAAGAAGACGAGGAAGTTAAATCGTATTTTAACGAAGCCTTAGAGAAAACACCAGAGCTGAATCACATTGAAAACACTCAATGGTTCACCAATGGCAATCCATGATTATCGAAAAACAATTGACGGGTATGCATATAATAAGTAATGTGATTTTTAAAGTTAAATACATTTTGTTGCAAAGAAAACAGTAACTCAATTTAAATTAGGACAGGTATTCTATTTGGTGTAATTGTATTTTAAATTTTAAATTATAATCTAGTCTGGTTTGTATTCACATTATTTAAATGGATAAAAAAAATTTTTTTTTTAAATTGTACTACCCCTTCTGGTCTCATTTTTTTAGGGCTATTGGGAAAATTGGCTTTTTGTTTTATAAAATATACTCTATTTTTTAGATGGGAATCTAACCTAGCCTGGTTGGTCCGACCTGTTTTTTTTTAAATTTTACTGTCCGTTCCGGTCCTATTTTTTATGACTAGACAAACTTCTACGGTCTAAGTCTATAGTTTTTAAACTGAAAGTAAACATAGAAGAGTCGATACTTGTTTTAAAAATGGATTTTATTTTTTAGACTTAACGAAGCAGGAGAAATAAAAATTGAAATAGAAAAATCAGACGATTATTGCTTCAAGTCGATTTGTGAAGAAGATGAACTGGTGATAGAGCGACAAAAGACAAATGTCAATAATAAATACATGTAATATAACTTTTAGTACAAAATATTTTAAATACATAATATGTTAATAAATAAAAATATTAAGGTCACCCATATTATAATCTTTTCTTTCAGTTACAGGACACGATTGTTAAATACTTTTTTGTATACTTTTATATACATTTTATTTTTCAGGTTTTCTGAATCGAAAATCAAAATTGAAGACGAAACAGACGATTACTACGGCACTGTGAACAAAATTGATAAAGACGACGAGGATACGATGAAAGAGGAGTTTACTGAAACCTTTGTGAAAGAAACAAAATCAACCAACATTGAAAAATCATGTTGTAGTTGCTGCTTGACGGCGCACAACGATCTTTCATTCGACGGGAATATAAACAACAAGTAATTGGTTTTTATATGGTAACTGAATACCTAAATATAAAGTGATGATAAAATATTGCACAGTCACTACCAAATATTTTTTATTAACAGAGAATTGTGCAATACAACGGTGGTTAAAGTCCAAGTCGATATAATAGATGGACATTATTATACGAATCTCCGATTGAAATTGAAGAAAATGGGCTTTTGGATTTGCAAAGATGTAAGAGGTCTTTTAACACTAAACGGAAAGTGGCCCAACACATCATAAATCGATCACATAGTGCACATTCATCGACCCAGAAAAGCACTACAAAACAGGTCATCAATAAAAATATTATGTAAGGCAATGCATTTAATATAAAAAATTATCGCTAGTCTTTTAGTTAAAACTAAATAGCAAAAATGTTATTCTTGTAGTTTACGTTACATAATATTTTAATATACAGTACATCCACTATTCAATAACTCATAAACTTATTTATAAATCTACAGTGTAAGTTTACATTAAATATAAAATTTAAAAAAAAATTAAAAAGTGGCGAGTAAACACCTGAGAGATATTCACATTTTTTAAACGAATTATTGAATACGCTTGAATATATAGTTTTGTAATTGTATCTTTATCATTTTATCTGGATGATTCAAAATTATTCAGTTGAATTTTTTGCAAATCCAACAAATTTTACATCTCTCAAAATAAAAAAATTAGCAATAACACACAAATGTGAAAAGAATATTATTTTTTTGTTTTTATTTTACGGATTTGTTTTGTTACAGGGCCAATACTAGCTTACACAATAGTGAAAAGCCCTATAAATGCGCCGTTTGCTTAAAATCATTTACTGCAAAATCAAGTCTCGCACATCACGAACGAGTGCACACTGGTGAGAAGCCCTACAAATGTGGGTTTGTTCTAAGTCATTTTTTGAAAAAGTAAAACTCATAACACACAAACGAGTGCACACTGGAGAAGAAAGGCCCTACAAATGTGCGGTCTGCTTGAAATCGTTTTCTCTAAACACATGTCTCACGAGACACATCAAACGCGTACACACCGATTGATTACCCCAAAAAATATGTATACTTGGGTTTATTATTTTCTCAATAATCCAAGTTTATAAATTTTAACTTAAAATTATATAGAAATATATTTTTCATTTCATAGCACCAACTTGAAAATATGTGTACGTGCATTACTTATTTCAATCAATGTTTATCAAAACGTGTTTATGATGTACTCGTTGAGAAAAATGTATTTATAAATAATGTTGCATATTGTGTACGTTAAATATATTGAAAGCTACGAGAGACAGTAGTAATTGTAATGATTAAACAAAAACCTACATGTTATATTAATAATAAATTTATTTAATGATATTGATATTTGTTTAAAATATATATTATATGTATACAATTGTTTGATAACTTATTTTATTTATTTATTTATCATCACGGACAGTGTCCAAAATACAGTAGTATGAAACATTACACGTAATACGTGAGCAATCCTCTTTTATTATATACTTTGTTTAACTATAAATTAAAGTTCATTACCTGATTTTACTTCTGAAAAGATATTATCAAGAAAAGCAGAATTTAATTAATGATTAAAACAAAGTGTAGGATTTTATTTACTATCAATATGAAAATATAGCGATAGAAAACATCCTTCCTTAACTAGATAGGTAAAAGAAAAAATATACCTACCACTAGACTACTTTACTTATGTAAAGGATTCGTTTCAAGTATATTATATATATAAAAAATTATAAGCTAAGAGTAAATACAAGAATTAAAGAAAATATACATTACTGCACAGTAGCCCAGTAAACACTTACACAGCATTAAAATGTAATAATTTATAAACAAACCAAAATAAAAATTGTATTAGTTCAAACACTTATTTTAATTCAATTAACCCAGTGAGTAACAGTAGGTGACCTCTCTCAACTTTAACCCAGCACTTAGAGATTACACTATAACCATAATATATCAGTTTATACATCAACTGATGTAAGACATATTGCCTATCTAGTATGTCAAAAGGCACCATGGATAGTTTTTTTTAGGCCAAACTATGTTTAAAACTGTTTTTAATATAATTTAAAAATTATGTTTTAATCATGTTAAGAACATTGTTTTTTTATTTTATTTAAAACGTTTTAAACAAATTTTAATTTAATTTAGTACACATGTAGAAATTGTAAATATATTATATATTTACTAAATACTTACCAATTACGGATGGTTATTTTTTCTTTTAAATTCTAGTTGATTATTTAATTTGATATTTACTCTTTAGAAATAAACACAATAGTTCCATGTAAATAGTTCTAGAGTCTACAGACTACAGAGCAAACCCTTGGGCATAGTTTTTATTTTGTGTATACATAAAAAATAGTGCATATTTGATATTTATTATTATATAACACCTTAAAATCTGAATTCTGTATATTTCAACAAATACAAATTAATTACTTAAATAAATATAACAAACATATATAATATGTAAATCGTTTATATAACATATCATTAAATATCAATATAATAATTGTGAAAATTATAAAATAAATGTAATTGTATGGTAAACTAAAAACGTACAACCTGTGTGTGTTCAATATTTGAGCTGCAGTGTTTTCAAACAGTAAAATAGCTAATAAAAAAAACAATATTTTACGGTCTTGTTTACTATGCGCAATTTAACGGACAATGCAAACAGATAAATACACCTTAATGGGTTGCTTTATTTTAGCTAAAACTCTTAACACTTTTGGTTTTTTTGTATTTTCAGAACCAACAACATACCGACAAGGATTATTATGACTACGAGTTTATTAATTATATTATCAATTTTGTGCCTTGAATATATTAATAATATTATTTTTAGGTATTCGTTTAATATTGTAAAACCTATAATATTGCGAAGATATGGATCTTACTTTCAATTATAATACTTGAAAGGAATGTGTTTATAATAATATACACAGTATGTTGTATTGTATTATAATATGTACTTGTTTGTGTTTACTTTGTCTTAACTAATTAGTTATAATTTTTCACACGCCAACACGGGAAGTTTGCAACCGCAAATTATAAGTCGGTTTAAAAATAGAACATTCCGCATTACATTTTTTTAAAGTTTTCAAACCGTTAAATGCGCCATAAGTACAGAATTTGTGAATAAAATATGGATAAATATGGTTAGGTTATATAATGCGTAATATTAAATATTTAATTAAACTAAAAATAAAAATTACATACTATTCGTATTGTACTGAAAATCAAGACAATTTATTTGCACAGTATAAAATTTGTCACTAACAGTTCTAGGTTATATTATGTGTATTACACGCTTGATCGGTGATGCTTAATTTTTTTATTTATAATATTATCCTAACCGAATGACATCAGCAGTTTTCCCGCTCAAACGCTGTTTATTTGAACGAAAAATAAAGTAATTTTAAGTAATATTCAAAAAACCTACATACAACCTTGAATTAATTATAATTAATGATTTTTACAAAGAACATAAATTAGAATTGATTAATTATATTGCGCGTAAAATACTAAAAATAAAATACAATTTTTAAGTGTACTGGGAATGTTGAAGTACTAAGTCTTATTGTTGTGAATAACACATATATTACATAAGACGCTGCGCTTTAAGAAATATATTATGAATATTATATTAATAATAATTATGAAGTATTAAACTTTTTTATGTGGATGCAAATGTATTCATATAATATTTATTAAAAGTCCTGAATAAAACAAACGATGTATAATTTATAGTACTTAGTGTTTTTTATTAGCATATTTATACTTTTACTAATTACAGTTAAAATAATCTTAAAATCCTTAAAAGATTAAAATTTTAATTTATTTTTTTCATAAACTTTAATAATTTTTTTACTAATATGCCAATACCACACATCTACTGGGAAAATGATATTAGTTTTTAAATGCTTTCCAATAAATAAGAAAACATAATATCTAAACTTAAATACATTGCCAGAAGCTTAAATATTTTCAATAATATTACTGACATATTTGTGTTATTTATGACTTTAATGGGCACCTGTCATGTTTTTTGAAATATTGAACACTATTTTTAAAATAATACTCAAAAACGTTTGTCATCATTTTAAAACTGCGACCAAAAATGTAACGTTTACAATTGTTTTCTTAAAGGATTTTTTCCCTTAAATATAAATCTAAACAATATCTTCTAAAACGTGTAAAATTATTTTTCACCATCATTATAATAAATAATTATTTCTAAATATTTTCTCCTGAAATACAATATTATCAACGCTAATAATTATTAGACGTTTTTATATATACATATATATAATATTTTTGTATTTTGCTACAATTTTGGTCGAAGAAAATATCATCAATTCATTTTCAAGTTAAGGTTTTGTGGATTAATTAGAAATGTAATCGTTAAAAAAAAAAGAAATAGTTGTTTAAATATTCATTAAATCAATCAATTCGATAGTCATTTACAAGTATTAGAATTTTTCAAATTGCTTTGCGGATAAATATATGTGTACATACACTTGAGAAATATACCTAATTTATTATAGTCTTGACAAATTCAGTTTCACTTTATTTTTTTTTTAACTAAAACAGTAGTTAATTGCCAGTATATTTAATAAGTACCATTATTGTCGTATGGTTTAAATGATGAATCCGTTCACGTGGAAACTAGTTTGACGGGAAATTACACGGTTGTTCGTCGAAGATGGGCAATTTAGTAAATCACACAAAAACGTTTTTAAAACACAATCCAATTAGCGCCTTGTTTGTTTACAGACCCGTTTTGTCGCGAACAGTGGACTTCCCCAATTGGCTCTCGATAAGACACGCTGTGTGTGTGTGTTGTAAAAAAATAATAATAAATTACACATATGAATTACTTAACAAGTAACACACAAACGGGCCATGCACTAAACTTCTCCGGAAGGTCGCATTGTGCAATATTTAAATTTAAAAAAAAAACCACAATTTGCTTAACGTTGGCCCAAATTTTGGAGCCTTCCTATTTTTATTTTTTCACTCTTAAAAGTCACGGCGACCAATTAAATTGACTGCCAATTTTAGGTAAATGCACCTTATTCGACCATTGAATTCGCTCCTCCTAATGTATATAAATATAATTTAATTGAATCTACTCCTAATAACAAGTGGTTCTCAAAATATACTTATGAAAACTTATGTGACTTTGTGCTGGATTCAATTGCTCAATTATCTTCCTAAATGTACTATAATATTGTGTTCAAGCGAATACTATAATGTAATTGTAAAAACTCAAAAGAAAAAATTACTTTAAATAGACTTAAGAGAGGATTTGAGGGTATTAGCACCCCCAAAAATAAAATAAGCCTCCCCCTTAACATTTGTCTTGTTTATTTATGTACTAAAACCTCTGCGTATAAAAATGTTTAATATAAAAAAAACCCAAAAGCTTTTTGGAGAGTTGATAACAGTATACGTATCATTCAGTATTATTTATCAATTTCATGTGGCTATCACTCTCCTCGTTAGGTCTGCATCTTGTAAACGCTCGTTTACTGCTATAAGAAAAATAAAGATTTTGGCTTAAGGTTTCAGTGAGACAGGACAGACTTACAGATTTACCATATATGAAAAAAGAAAAAGATATGACACGCTTAATTAACATAAGCAAAGTTATTGACACATTTGCAGAACATAAGCAAAGCGTACAACTTGTATAAAATACCTGTAAATTGTAATATTGCATACATTTTTATTATTTTTTGTTATAAAATAAAAATGCTAATATACTTAAAGTGTTAAATGTTAAATTGATAAACAATATCCTTGATAAAAAAAAAAACATTAAACTTTTTAATTTTAATACATAGAATATGCAGAGCTTAAGCACAGATCCAATTCACTACAGTAGTATACAGGGTGATCCGCCTGATGCAAGTGTAACTGGTTTTCTCTGAAAATGCAAACATACTGAAAACACTTTTTTCCCTATACTCGCAGATAAATGGTTTACTTCCATACGTATAACAAGTTATGGAACTCGTTTTTTCAATTGGGAACATATTTCAAATTTATGTTTTTCATTAGTCCGTTTGTCCATTAGCCGATGACTTTGCATCAGATGGATCACCCTGTATACCGGCACTGACTAATCCATACCGACCCATTAGACGGGATCATCATTATTGCCATGCCGATCAGTGTATACCTAATATGATAATTAATTATAATATCACTTACTATATATTACTACAACGACTTGTGTTTGCCGCCCGATTGATTTGGCTTTCCTTGCACAGACACCGCTTTATGCGTGCAAATAATATGCATACCCGTATTTCTCCACGTTGCCATTGACTTGTACCACAAGACTGCACAAATAATAATTATTATAAATCACTATATAATATTATAAAACAGTTTTAATTCAACAACATACAGGGCGATCACAGAAACGACACTGAAATGCCGAGGTAGTGTAAACCAGAGTAATAACTAACTTGTATAGCAAGACAGTGGTTGGTGTATCAATAATATTATACTTTATCAAGAAATTAAAATAACACTTATAGATATTGTTGAAACAATAGTTCACAATTATTTTAGCTATACCTACACGGCGAATTAATTCATTATATCATTTAAAAACGAAAAGGCTCTGCCCAAAAAAAGAAACAGCTTTTTAAACTTGAATTTAACTGCATCGTACCTTTGGTAAATGATTTGTCATCCATACTCTGTATGTACATTAAAACAGGACATGTCGTTGAAAAGATCAGTCCAGACATTAAAAACAATATTGTAAAACCAATACATCAAAGATTATAATAATAGATTAGTGGACAAACATCATAATGTTTGGTTAAAAACAATTTTTTTTTCTACAAAACCTTAAACACTGTCGGAGCGATATTTATATGTCGAATCCATATAATAAATCGCCCTGTACATTAAAATAATATGTAAAATTAATATTATATACACGGATAAATCCATGAAAATAACAACCTAGACGACATTGAGAGGTATCCAGATTGACGGCGGCTGATGACCGGAGAGGGAGAAGAAGTTAAGGAGACAGCCAAATGCCGGTATGACTCCTCTTCTGGAAAACCAAATAGTGTAATATATATACATATATACATGTGCACTTCAAGGTTTCAAAAAACTCATCATCGACACAAAATATGTGTGTACCTATCTATATTATATTCTACACTGATCGAACAACAATCGCGATACACCCGAATACCGTGTAAAACGTGCGACGAATTGTCTTACCTGTACTTGTACATTAGGTACAGAATTGAACTGTGGACGTTTTTTTTTTAAATATAATTATACAATTTGTCGGTAAATTGTAATAAGTATATAATATTACAATATATATATACTTATTTTTTTTACACCAAAGATTCGCTGTAATATTGAACATCCTGCGGCGAATTGTTTTTCTTTACGCCAAGACACAACAATAATAATAAAAAATATATACATACATATATATTATATAAATGAAAACACCTCTCAAGGTCTTTTCGTCGGTCTAAACACGGTCCAAGACGACAGCCAAACAACGTTGGCGTTCATTCTGTCCGGCAAGCTCAAACGTCAAAGGATAACGTCGCCAATCGCACACACACACACACTGTTATTGCAAAGAAAATACACACACACACTGTTAACAAGAGAAGAAAAAACATGGACAACCATCGCACGCCGGTAAGGGTTTGATAAAAATTAATTAAAAAATTTTTTTAAAAAAAAACCCCTAATGATAAAATCCTATGTCGACCCATCGAACAATAGATTTTTATTAAATTTTTTTATAATAATATCATACATTTAAAGTGTACTGTTGGTTTTTGTGTGTTTTTATATGAGATTGATTACTACAGCGGCTATACACCCTGTGCTAGGTCCCCGTCATGCTGGCTAAAAGTCACCCTCCGACTCGCCCCTCCCAGCACAAGCTGTAATATTTTGTATATTAGGATAAAGTTTGTAAAATGGATATTAATATATTATTATATATATTATATTATTATTATATTTGGATATTAATGGTTTTTTTTTAAAGGTTAAAAATATAATGCTAAATTGGAACGGGGGGGGGGGGTGGTTATACCAATAATAAAAATATGATAACGCCCAAAAGGGTACAAGTGACATATTTTTCAAAAACAAGTTCCTGATCGTAAAATTTTATTTTCAATGCGAACACGAACACCAGTCACCATGAAAATTATTAAATCTTAACTTATTTTTTATACTTAAGCGTACACACTCTGTCCGACCTTTGTGAGGTAAACGACAAAATAAAAAACCTTCATTGTCAAAAAAAGTTGTGTCCAACATTGGTATTCAAAGTTCTAAGTTTTTTTTGAGAAATAGTAGTCAGTGTCTTAAAGTAAAAAAAAAAAGTTTATCTTTCACAATAAAGTATTATTTGAACGTGTTCATCTTAAGCGCTGGTCTTTGGCTTGAGATTCAAACTTTCTTAGCGAGTATTATTAAGATAATATTATCATAGTGTTTATATTATTTAACCGTGTCTATTTTGTTGTTTTTTTTTTAAATTAAACGTTGCCTAATAACATAATATAAATTATATAATATTATTAATGAGTGATGACCATTATTTCTAGGCTTTCTTTATAAAAAAAAAAAATAATAAATTTAAATCGTATGTAAACAACTCGATAGGACGTGTTTGTTGTGCATGAATTATGTGAAGTATTTAAGTGCAAGTGGAAAAATTGATCAGACACTAGAAGTCCTTCATCGAAAGAGCACAAACATAGACGTGTACATATATTTACTATAATACACTATTATAATTTATTTATGTAACGTGATTATATGTTTACACGACATATTTTACTCTGAGTAGTTTATTATTTATTAAACTTGAATAACTTGTGGATTTCCCACATTTATAAAAAACGCTTATGGGCTTGCAGTTGTTTTGACCAAATATTGATGCGTGTAAGATTTGGAGGTCACCGGTGTTGCTAATAAGTGAAGAATATTATATTGTATAGTAATAACAACCGAAGGGAGTTTGAAAAATAAAATCAACAATGTCTAGTATTTTTTTTTTTTTATCAAAACAGAAATCCACTCTGATTGACAATGCTCGATTAAAAATATGTAAAAAAAAAAAAACCGAAATTAAAAAATCGAACAATTATTGTTATTCTTCAAGCCCGTTTTACATAACAATGTATTATTTTGTAAGTTGTATGCAATTCTTAAAGGTCGTCCCAGACCTAATTATCATTTTTCACGGTCACGTTAAAAATTCGTCGAGAAAAATGTTTTAACACAATTCAAACTATTTCCCAGAACTTACACCGCGGACAAAGATATATTAAAAACTACTTAACATTATTAGATAAAGCGTTGTTAAGTCGCGAGTCGTGCTAAATATACATTATAACATACTTTGTTATGTAATAACTTTTTGTTGTACACCAATTTATACTGGACTTACAATGCCAGTTTAAACGGATATGAAATGTTTAGAGTTCAATACAATATGAGTTGTCAACATTATTAAAATAAAAACTAATTTGTTAAATCGCATATTTATTAAACAACAACGGGTACACGGTGAGGAGTGTGTACGATATGCGAAATACGACCTGATGAAAGATAAAAAAAAAAATTAAAAAATGATCCTTTCTAAAGTAATAGTTTTAAAATTATTAAAGTTTAAAATTTAGGATGGTAGGAAAGGTGGAAAGAAGAGTTTTTTTTATCTCAACCACACTCCACCTCCCATTCGAAATTTTAAACTTAAATAACTTTGAAACTGTTTATTCAAAACTGGTTATCGACCGGACAATGTTTTCAGAAAATTATTCTTAATTTTTAAGGCTAATTAAATATATACGTTGCCGTTTAAGTTTTAAAAGTTGGTAAAGCTTTAGCAAATAATTAAAAAGATAAAAATGTAAATATTGTCTCGTATAGTAATATATCATAATCAAAAATATTATCAAAAAAAAAAAAACGCTTCAAATTTGCAATTATTTTAAGAGTAAACTAGTGTAGGGCGTTAAAAGAATCACCCGGTGTATTAATTTATAAAATAAATAATATTTAATACTTTAAAAAAATAGTTCACATCGATAGTAATACATTCAGACAATACTGCTCCCAAATAAAAAACAATATGAATGAAAATAAATATGCAGTTAAAATATAAATACTAAACCGATGTCCTATTAAAGCGTACAAACTACATTCACCAGACACCTATATTATGTTTTAATTTTAAATGCTGAGGAGTTATGGGAATAATCTTCAACACAGAGATAAAAAATGAGGTGGAAAATTTTCTAAATATTTATTACTAAGACTTGAATTATAACAATCTTGCTAAGTATTAAATGCTAGGTAACATAGAAAATCAATTCAAAGTAACAGATTTCAGTATATTATACAATTTTATTTGGCGTATAGTTCATGGTTTATTTTTTATTGCCTTATTTGAACTTTTTATGATTTTAAAGCGTCTATATTACCATATATTTCAAACAAATTGGTTGTAATTAAATCTATAACAATAATTAGTAATGTTTAGTGCATATTTATATATTTTTTAAGGGCATAAATGCATGCAAATGTTAACATTTTTTAGTGTTTATGAACTATCAAGCCCTGGTTATTATAATGTAATACTTTTCTAGATATTATACATTTATTAATTTGTTTTCCCCCGTTGTGCATTTTTAATTTTTATATTACATTGTCATAATATAGCCATACACCATATTGTCTTAGTATGGTAACTTATAGGAACTACCGACCATCTCTATAGGGACCAATGATAGTAAACAGTCAGTAAGATTCAAGTACAACAATTTTTATAATATTTAAAAAAAACAATAAGACATCTTATGATAGTACAATATTGTACGTTTTAGAACAATGTATCATAATAACAGTTACGGAATATTTGTTAGGGACATATTACAATTAAATGATGTTAATTTATGATCATAACTACATTAGATTTTTACCGGTGGTCAACTGGTCTGCATTATACTTTTTGCCTTTCTAAGTTCTTGAATTGTCTTTTAGAAATTTGTTTACCACACAAAACGGCGAAAGGTTTTTTTTTTAAAGAAATTTAAAGACAATTTCTCAAAGGAGTTGCAACATTTTATGTTGGCAATAACTCTTGGAAATCCGGAAGTAGATCGGACTCGGACTACCCTTTTACATTAATTAAAAAATTAGCGTACAGCGCGCGCATGGCCAAAATTGCAATAATTAAAATACAAAACTAATTTTAATTCGGTTCCACGGTGCGTTTATAATCGATTACGCGTTTCCCTTGTCCTTCAAAGACGAACAAGTAGTCGTCTTCTTCGCGCGATCACAGCCGGAATGATATAACTTTTTTTTTCTTTCTTCGCTTCTCCTACCGTTCAATTCGACACGTCTAATTAAGTAGTAGGCCCCCCCGTTTCATTATCACCGGATCGTGAACCTATGTATAATAAATACCTGATGAGACGTTTGTTAATCCGATTGATTTTGCCTTGTTTTCCGCAGTTGAATTTGTCGGCGATCGCCTTGTTGACGGCACTGGCGGTCACTTGCAGCCTTGGTGCGCCGGCTTCTTTGTCCACCGACTCCGGCAGCGAGACCCAGAGCAAAGACTCCAACGAAGTGGGTCCCCTGCAAGAGAACTGGCAACTGTTCGAGAGGTTGGCCAAGAACAAGTCGTACGGCGGTCCTTCGGTCGACCCGGAAAAGACCAGGCAGCTCATCAAGGAGATCGAAGAGTTTTCGCGGCTGGTGCAAACCACGACCACGGTAACGCCCGTACCGGCGGATAACGGTACCGCGGTCGAAGACGACGACGACGACTCGTTCGCGTCGGCTTCCGACTGGTTCGACAAGTTGTGGAAGGAAATCACGGACGGCATGGACTTTGACGGTCTGGACGACGACGACAAGGGAAAACCCGACAACGACGCGCCGCCCCCGGACGTACCGCCGACCACAGAGGCCGACGCCGAAACCATTGGCTACGTTCGGCCGCAGTCGCAGGGACAAGAGACGGAAGACGGCGGCACCGTCGAGGAAATCATCAGGAAGCTGAACAACGACCTGAAAAGGTTGTACAACAAGATCAAACAGGTCATAACAGTGATAAAAAACTGGTACGCAGTATGGTCAATAGTTCACTCGGTAGCTGCGGCCGCAGGATGAACCCTCCCCCAATTCCTAATTAATTTCCTCTCAAAACATACATACTTAGCACAACACTCTCTATTCACCATGTCCGTTTGAACGTCAATCGGTTAGCCATCATCCACACATAGTATATTATACTCTGACCATAGAGGAGCCGTTCCATCTAAAACACATTGGTTCGACAAGGGTCGCGATTTTCAGTGCAGCCACTTTAGAAAGAATTTATACAATAATTGGCAAATAATAGCGGTGACGCTACTTGTGTCATCATTTAATGAAACTCATCACTACGATTTTATATAGTGTTACCTGAAATTGTAGGTACTTAGCACAAGTTTTAGAAGCCAGTTGTCAAAATATACTTTTGATACGTACACATTAATTTTTTTATGGCTATGGTCAAACTAAAAGTCGCAACCTTTGTCAAAACATTGTGGACAGTGGAATACAGGCGATATAGGAAACGGCTCCTCTATATCACTTTAAGGGACAGACTAGTAGTTCGGTTGGTACAAATTGAAGTAATGGGAACTAAAACACGGTATGACAAGTGACGTTTTTGAAAAAAACAAGTTTGTGATCATACAATATTTTGATGTCGCATACGAAAAACCACACATGAAAATTGCCAACGAAAAATAACACTTCAGCTGAGATGATCAAAGGGCTAAAGTGTGGTTTTCGTTCAGCAGGTTAGATTTGCTGTTTTTTTCGTATGGACCATCGATTAGGGTTAGTCTTAACTTTTCTATATGCGTTTGTTTTATAATTTTGAAAAATATCATGAAGAAAGCATACGATTTATGGGCATAGCCCGTAAGAATACATTGAAAATATGATTTTCATCATTTTGCTCTCTAGTAAAAATTACTTACACCTTATTTTGGTTCTCATTACTTGAATTATTGTACACAGATTATGTATAAACTAAACTCACCAAGCACGGTAATAGCGTTATCTCACAGCTATAAATCATAAACTAAAACTAAAATAGTTGCTTCATTTCCATTTAGTGCAGGCCTTTTAGAGTCCTAAAAATTGTCATTCGCTATTAATATTGTGAACGGCGACAGTTCAAATTTATACTGCCTACTTGTTTATACTAATTTTTGTTGATTTTATAAAAATAAAAAAAACAGTATACATAACAGTATACCCAAAAAAGGTAGGTATTATTTTTAATAAATAATACCTACCTATTAAGAATTGATTTATGTGAAGTATTTTTTCTTTTCAAACGGGTGTGTAACAACAGAGGGTAATAAATAAAATATGAAGTAAGCGAAAAGGCGAGTTGCAGTGTGACCAGTACGACGAAATTACATTTCTCTGGTACATAATTTTAATTTGTTTCACTATTGCAACGGGCAACCGTGCGATACAAATATAACGATTATAATATAATCAGATTATCATACAAAGTTTGAATTTATCAGTGAAATGATAACTTATAAAAAAAGTAACTATTTATTTCTAATTAAAGTGGTCACACTGTCGCTCGTCTTCTTTATTGCTTAGTTTTCGAGTACAAGGCATTTTATGATATTACAGCTCTATACATTAATTACACTATTGTCTATACTCTATAATAACATTTAGCTGTCTACTGTGCATAAATTGCTTGTCCATCGAACCGGATCGACCTCTGTTCTAATGATATCCGCATTTTGAAAGACTCAAAAGTGTAATTCATGTGTATATTGTTTTCACAGGGTCAGCAACAATAGAGCAGATGACTTGACTGAATTGTCTGGCAGCGGGTCTGAACAGGAAGTTTTCGTGATAACCAATCCGTTAATTGGCGACAACGATAAATCTAATAAATACACATTACCTATAAACGCGGAATAGTCCTGGATATGAAGTTTATTAAGTTATGAAGTTGCCCATAATTCGCAGCCGACTCTCTCTTGTCTATTTAAAAAAAAAATCTTTTTAACTTATTTGCACTTTAACTTATATTTTACTATACAATTATTATGAATATTATTGCTACACAATGTTATTATCATGTTTGTAAAAAACAAATGTTCCTTTGATAAGTATAATAATATTGTATTAGAAAAGTACTATTTATTTCACGTCGAACCCAAAAAGGCCTGTACATACACGGTTTAACCTTGCAATACTAGTTATTATATATTTTATTGTATCATGTACTTACAATTAGTTAATTTGTATTGAATCGGTAGTTATCGCCAAACTTGTCAACTATTGTAAACAATAGTACTTACACGCACAGCACTATTTTGCTTCGCACTTGGAGATAAAAATCTGCACGGTTGTCTTCGATTAGAATTTTTATTTTCACTTATAATAATTTGTAATACTATAAATTGTATATTTGACGTTTAAATAGGTTATTACTTATTATCGTACATGTAAAATGGTTATGTCACGGTTTTATACACCATTATTGTATTAATGTTATGTTTAATGTCTTTACTTGATTAACTCTGTTTTTAACTGATACCTAATCTAAAGCTTTTGTGTAATGATTTATATTGTAATTATTTTACATGATGATTACTTGCTTTACAATTATAAAAATCCATAATATTACATAGTTTCGAAATTTAAATATATTGTTAAAAAAATGTTTAAATCAAGTTATTAGGTAACAATGTTTACTCAAAACATCAAAAAAGATGTGCATGGATAGGGTATATAAAACATAGGAGAGGAACGAAGCGATACTTGTGGAACTTTTATGGGTATAAAAATTTCTGAACAGTCAATTCTATTGTTGAGTAAATTATACATCCAGACATTTTCTTCTGCACAAAAGAGAATGAATTTTTAGACTTCAAGCAATTTATATCGTGTTTAATTTTGTTAAAATTTATCTTGTAGGATAAGTTATTAAAATAACTTTGAAACTTCCACGCTCTTATTAAAATTCTCTACGATTTTAAGATGTGTGTATTTTTACATAGTGTGCATTACACACCGTTTAAACAAACAAAAAGTCGGTAAAAAACGACTATCACTAAGTAAAAAGAGCTTAAATATTAATTAAATTTGCTTTTAAAAAGGAGTAGAAAACTGTCCCAGACTGCCAGATGCGGTAACTCGCCAATAGTAATATTTGCCTATAGTAGTTCCTTAGAAACTTTCAAGTATTATAATGTAAGTATACACAACAACAATAGTAAACCAACACGGAAATGAAGTATTCGAGTTCTAAGAAGTGTCAATCATTATTAATTCATAATAATTTTGAAACACTCAGAATGGTGACAATGCATGCCAATCAAAAGTATTACAAAACTTTAGTACCACTATAGTCTAGAACTATAAGGTTAACGTTTCTTCCAGTGATAAAATATATCATCATCAGTAAAGTCAAATTAAGATAGCAAGACACTCATCAGCAAGATCATTATCTGTCCTACTTGGGAATTCTTTAACGGTAACTTTAAAAATTACATTTCCAACGTACAGTATTATACTCGAATGAAATTATTACTAGCCAGTAAGTAACAATTAGTACTACAGTACATCTATTTACATTAAAAAATAATCTTTTACGTCTCATCAACCCGTTATACCCGAACGCCAAAGTAAAGTTCGTTTGAGATGTATAATAATTGTAATTGAAAGTTTTTTTTAAAAAAAAGGGCCTAGTAAAGTAGTCATGTCGAATTGGTACAAATGGTAGTTTTTTGTTGCTATATAAAAAATAACGAAGTAACGTCCCCCGCAAAGGTATACACACTATTTGCTGCGTTATGAACGATTCAATTTACTTGATTAAATCTACCTGCTTTTCAATTCGCCCATCGCGTCGCATATTTAAAAGGAAATATAGACCGACATAATATATTTCTATTGCCTTTTAGAGATATTATACAAGATACTACGGCGGTATATAAAATGTTACAAACACAGTGAACGGGGGTGTCGTTGTATTTTGCCTAATTATTGTAAATTATACACGGGTGTAGGCAGTAGGTAAAAAAAAAAAACACAAAATCGATTATGCCGAGTACACCGGTGTGGGTAGACTTTTTTAATAAATTAAAAAAAAACCTTGATGGCAACGGAAATGATAGAACGTCAAGTGAAACGCCTGTAGCGGTGTCGAGCCAGCAACTCCTTAGACATCCGTGTCTTCTAGGACCGGCGCACGTATCTGCAATTGGGAAAAGTTAAATATAATATATTTTATATATTAGACTTGTACATCATAACTGGTTTTTTTTCCACTGTCATAAAAATAATAACATGTCGTTTGGCATCGGTACTTTTTTTAGTATACTCTCACAGACATCACACAAGCTTATTCGTGGAACGGTCAATCAACCGTTTAGGTATGTGTATAAGTTTGCCACCCATTAGAAGACATGTTCCGTAAAAAGATCTTTTCTTCTCCAGAAATGTTTATCTACTATGAACAAACAAAATAAAAAAACAATCATTAACAACGTACGACCCGAACCACCGACATAACACAATAATAGGCTAATCGCGGTGTTCAAGGTGGACATTATATAATTTATTGATAACTTTCGAAGTTGTTGAAAAACTTATCCAGGTAAATATAGTAGTTATTATCGTTGTTGTATTCCATTTTACGATATAATATTATATTAAAAAAGTTTTCAAGTGGCCAATACAATCAATTGAAAAACCCAGCAAGTACGTCGAAAAAGAGAAGAACATCAACATATTTTTCCCTGAAAAATAAAATTACTTCTTCCAAGTTTTAACATGAATCTAATAAAATGGGAATCCGAGGATCTTAAAGAAATATGTAATATTTTTATTTTATTGGGTTCGATTTCAGTTTTAGTAGCATAATATTTAAGAATCAGTCATAAAATCATAACTTAACCAATCTATGAAAATACAAAAAGAAAAATCCAAATTTTTTTCTATTCTACAAATTTTAGGGTTTATTTTTAAAGTTGAGAAATATGTTGGCTTGACGCGATGATGAACGAGTGTCAGTTCAAAGCTATTGGTTGGGACTTAAAGTTGATACTTTACCCCCCCCCCCAAAAAAAAAAAATTACAAAATTACCGGTTTTCATTTTTCAAACTAAACTTTGAGAAAACCGGATCTTTTTTAGGCGTGCTCCATTTTAAAAATCGCTTTAAACTCAAATTCAGATAACCCTTCTTCCCTTTTCAGGGGAAATAAGTTTTTTATTTTTAAACTGAAGGCAAGTCATAAAGACAGCAAAAATACATTTGCATTTTAAAAATGTTGTTAAGAGTACTTATTAATATTGTAAAAATAAGTTATTAATTTTGTGTATAATTTATGTCAAAAACTGTTATTAGCTGAATAAATCCTAAAACATTAATATACATATCGACCATCAATTCTTTATTATAATAATAATATGATGGGTACTATTAAAAAACATTTATTTAAGGAGAACGGAAAGGGCTATTTATTAAGGGGCAAAGAATAAACAATTTAAAAACAAAATTGATCTAGTAGCCATTTTAAATGTGCAGACTAAAGTTAAGGAGACAAAACATGAAGATTTTTTAGTTACAGAACTTAAATAGTTATTTTTCTCACGAGTTGTAGTAAAAGATTGATGAAAAAAATGATTTACCAATGTATAAGTAATTTCCATGTGTATCTATTGAATTTGAATTTTTTTTTAAAGGAAAAATATAAACGCTTGTAGTACAATTTTTGGAACAAAAATTAAATAAAACGGCCTTTTGAAGAATATGTTTAACTTTATAAAAATTAAAAAAACACTTGAAATCGGCTCAGTAAACACTTAAAAAAGTGACTTATCGTTTTAGTCTTTATTTGTATAAAATTTAGCACGTTCCGTTTCTCTTAAGAGGACGTGTCTTATTCCAATTTAATAAGGAGTTAGGTATAAGCAATTTTTTTACACAATCTCAATATTAAGGTTTAGTAATTGGCAGTCAATTTTCTTTTCAGACTATCACAGCATCCTCGACAGCGATTTAAAAAAAAAAGACATCTTACCACCATAGTTACGCATATTCTCTATTTTTGACAATTGTTTTTTACAAATTTAAAAAGATGAGAACTTTAACCTAACGACCTCTCGTCGGCTATTTTATATATTATAACATTCCCAATTGAAATTTTAACTCTGTCATTTTCAAGTGTTTGTCTTAAGGTAAAATTAGAGTTTTCTTAAAAAAAAAAAACCGTCGAGAGAACATAGTTAAATTTATTTTTTTCAAGACCATTTCTCTCTTTGATCTACACACGCTTTTCCATAAACACGTTTTACGATTATTTTTAAAGGGTACGACGTCCTCTTAATACTAAAAAATATATTACAACCTTCATTATTTAGCCGGTTTTGATTTTTTATCGCCAAGTCTTTCATAAGAAAATATTAGTATAGAAATGGAAGAAAAACAAGTTTTTTCGTAATTTGTATTTTAATCAGTTTTTTTAGAAAACTGTTGAACCTTCTTAATCACACGAAATAAAAATAACTTGATTCGTCACACCTGGTGTTTAAAAATATAATCATTAGAGTTTATATTATCTGGACAGATTTCTTCTCTATAGTTAAAAACAACGGTATGCTACATATGCTGTATTTTACTAAAGAAAAACTTTCATAACTGATTGAATAATTCTTTCTGCAATTTGTATAACATTGCATTCAAGTGCAACGACCGTTCGTCGTTGTTTTTTTCCCCGTAGACTGAAATTATAGTGATAAATTAGTTCCAATAAATTTGAAACATAATATAACGAGTAGCTTGAGGGTGCATATGTATGCATGTATTCGGAAAACACAAATAATCATCGATTCGGTGACGTTTTCAACGATATTCCTCCGTTTCACAATAGACACATGGGGCTAACACAGTAGAAGTACTTTGAGAGATTTTTGTAATTTGTACACGACAAGTAAACAATAATCCTTTAGTTGTTTGCGCCTAATTTACCAATTCACTCGGTACCCGAGAAGCGCCGTGTCTTATATGCGTTTCGAGGAAAAGTATAATATAACAAGTAATAACTAATAAATATTGCTCAAAAGTCTACGGTTAGCACGTGTTTAGATTTCTTAGCCGTAAGAGGCCTTCGACCTTCGGTCAG